GAATAGACGTTTGAAGAGTAGTAGGGACGAGTAGGATGCATATGAAGAAGTGGGCACGGATTTGTAAGGATACGAGGATCAAAAGGAGGGTCAAGGGAGGAATGATTCAGGAAGATCCACGATAGCACTTTGAGGGAACTAAAATAACACGGTCACGGAAAGACAATTAAGACTGGCCTGATGTCCGGTTAACCTATAGTGAATATTGGTCACAGAAGGGAGACTGCTTGAAAGGTGTGAAAGTGAAGAAGACAGGGAAACATAGCATTACGATTCACGACAAACCAGGTTAAATATTTTGGTCAGCAACGTTATTTCCCCCCTGCTCATTGCATTCACTCTCACGTGCTGCTAGTCGGACTTTAAACTTTCGGTGCCGTAAACCAAGCCGATACGGATAACAAATCCAAATTATCCAATTACAATATCAAAAATTAATTATCACCCTTAAAGCAGCCTAAATCCTTCTAAAGTAAAATCATCGAGCCTGCGATCGCTGATCGACCTTTTGTCAAGGTTTTGCCGCCGGTAACCGGATCGCTGAACACCAAACCACTTCGCTGGCTACATACTTGGTCTTCTTTTTCTTCAAAACCATCCCTCCATCAGTTGACGTAAGGTACCAACGCTTCTAACCAGTACTTGACCTTGTATTAAAACGCTAGCAGGCGACTACCTGAACTTTGTTGGTGAGTCATTCCAAATGAATACTCCAAGTGTCTTTCCTGATGTGGCACCTGCCAGTGGCCACCAGTAGCCCGGCGTGGGCTTGTTAAACTTTAAGAGACGTTTATGCCATCACGCATGTCCTTTCTTCGGCTCCGTTCGCTGGCTGCCAAGTCAGCCCCACAACAATGCCGCGTAATCGGGACACGGGGAATGAGTTCATCCAACTTGAACAGACCTTCTCCTCCTCCCCTTCCACGCGAACTTCAACGAGAGTTCGAAGAACTACAGCGTAGTGCCCAAATGCCCCTCTCATCTCCAACCCTCTCCCACGCTGAAACAGAGGCACAAATGTCGTTACACCCTGACGCTCGTAAACCGTTAACGCCTGAGTTTGATGGTGATGTCAATCCCAGAACTGGTGAACAAGGAGGTCCGAAAAGGGAGCCCGTCAGGAAGTGGAGTGATGACGGCGGTGACTGGAGTTTCAAAGGGCGTGTCTCTGACTTCTAGTGAGATCATTTACGACTAGATTTTTTTTAATCTTATTTTAAAACTAAAATCATGATGGCATCATGGGTTACTCCGATTTTACTATCTCAAAGCGCTGGCAGTGTTCTTGCTTGACGTTGCAACCCAAACCAATCCCTTCTGAAAATTTGATCAAATGGAGACTAACAGAATCCATGACTTCCTAGCTCCTGCATTTACTTGAATGATCCGAATATTCATCTCACCCGGGACTATATTCAAGTCGAAACTCGAGAGTTGTAAACGAGCTTCTCTAAAATTTCTCCATCTAAGTGAGCTCGCTTCCATGCTCAATAAACCCTTAAGCGTCAACGTAAGAAAGCTCTGCCACATGAATGGCGGATTTCAAGATACATTAGTACAAGCCCCTAGCTTGCAATAAAAATAAGTTGCGCGAAGGGACCCTTGCAGTCAAAAAAACAGGTTGGCGTTGCACAAGTTACAGAATTATGAAAATATGTACATTTTTACCGCAGGAACGTCATCAGATCACCTCCTGATGCCTCTTGGGGCAGGGACGCCACGTCCCCGACGAGCTGTCATTTCGATTAGATCACGGGTTCTAGAAGAAAAAAAAATAACCATACCGTTCGCTAAAGAGTTTGTTCAGTCAGTGAATCATACGACACAAGAAAACACAGGAACAGACCTCTCATAATAGTAGCGCGACCACGCGCAGTACCGATACCTCTTCCGCGCATGGCATTGGGACCAACTCTCTTAAACCTAAGTGACAAGGTCAGGGTGATCTCGAAATCCGATCGTATGCAACTTACATGGGGGCATTCTGCAGCATATCTGGCACAATGAAGAATCTGACCATACTTCCCCTGATATACACCTGATCTAGTTGTGATACACGGCCATCTCGTCCTGTTACTGTTATATCTCTGAGTGAGATGTTCAAGTTATCCTCGGCTAGCAGCGTAGATAAATCAGAAAGAATCTATGACAGCGATGCTCGAAAATAGACGTACCCTCGGCGAGTTTTCCACGATAAAGTTGGCCCGTCTTGAGTTCCACGGTAACAATGTGTCCTAAGGACTCGTGGAGTAGCTTGACTGGCACACCAAGCCCCGTGTTTGCCATTTCTGAGTGGTTGTCAGTGTAAGAGTTTGAATTCTTGGATGTGTTATTTGGTCTTGTTTTGTGGCAACAAATAAATTTGTTCTGACATCCTAAATGGTCGATACTCCTTAGTGACTAGGGTTCGGCGTTGCCGAATTTAACCTTGCTTGTCTGCACTCTTACTAAGCAGATACACGCAGATACACGCAGGCTGTAGTGTTGCCGCGAACTGAACCGAATCGAATCGAAGTGGGAGTTCGTTCTAGGTTCGATGGTCGAGGTGAAACGAATCGAAGTGTAACGAATTCGGCCCGAAGCTCCAGCCAATGAGAAGTTTTTGTAAAGTGAAGTAGATATGAAGTGGCTATGTTTCATTCTACGTTATCGTTGTCAACGTTTTGTAATAGATCAGCAAGCTCGTCGAACTTCCCCATAACTATCAATTCCTCTGCAGCCCTTCGTGACACAGGCCCCGCAATCCGATAGTCATACTCTTTTGCAATCAAATCCCTAGTGAAACTTTCACTAGGGTCCTCTCCTGTCTGTAAGAAAACTTGAGAATCTGGAGGGCTTCCATGAAGTTCCATCACTCGTGGTGAGAGTCTGCTTCGACGGAGTGTGCATGTTTCTTTGCTGGATGAAAATACACGTTCGCACGGCACGGAGGATGCCTGAGCTGGCAGGACATCCATAGCAACGCAGAAAAGTAGTGGATAGACTTTTTCCATGCGCTGAAATTGACTTTAATGCCTTCGTTATGTGAAGAAAAATTTGAGCTCACCTCCTAGAACCGAACGAGATCACTCACGCGCTCGCCCGCATTGAACGTGACTGGTTTGCGCTCATAACGCTCAAGCTCGCGCAGAGCATCTTTTCGGTCCTCTTCGAGTGCCTTAGCACGCTGTGCAGTGAGTTCTTCAATCGAAGGCTGGTTTTGTATTGTGGAGGTGGGTGTCCTGAAAGTCATGTATGCGTGTGTGACTGATGATATCGATGCTGAGCGTCGAATTGTGACATTGATGCTTGACAGGCGAGAAACTGCGTGAGCTTGAGCCTGGGCTGCATGGGAGACGGCGCTAGTAGCAGCACATGCTGGTGCATAAGCAGTACTGCGGTCCGATGAAAATACGTATAATTATGTTCTAAACCAAAAGGTTTGAGGACGGGCAACGGAGGAGCAGAGTACATTCAGGAGATGTGAGGTTGCTGGAGATCTACTCTAACGAATCACCAAGTCACATGCCAGATTTAGCATCTCATTTGGCAGTTCGTTCCTAGTCCGACGCTTATCACAACGAGGTGTAAACGAATCGAGTTGTATCGAACTGCCTCATTTTCGAACCGAATTGAACTCAGCTCGAGGTCACCTCAGTTCGACAGCAACACTAGCAGGCTACTATATTCTCTTGTATTGCTTCGTACAGTGCTACGTTGTGCTACATGTTTGTCAGTAATTGGCTGTGCATGATACTGTTTGGCGTTAGTTGCGAATTTATATGCATGTATACAACCAGCTAACCTGTTTAGCAGGAAATTGATCAATATCATCTCAGCTCTGGTTACGTCGGTTATTGTGTTTTCGACGGACTGTGTTTGTTTCACGATCAAGACACTTGGATTTCCTTCACAGTGAGCTGTTGGAATGCGTTTTGGAATTGAGCAGACAAAGAGTGACTAGTTTCTTCGATATGTGTAGCCTTACTATCTGCTGCAGTCATGATGCACGAATGAGCATCTGGAAAGCGCTGCACACTAGCCACTAAGTCACTGTGTTTGCGTTTTTCTGCTCGATTCAGATTGTCGTCTCCCGTAGCAGCTATGATTTGCTTCATGGTTAAGTTGTCAAGCGCAGAATTGAGCTTTTGCAACATAGTAGATGGTACTGGATTGTGATTGTAGAAACAAAGCCATATACAGTTTATTGATATTTATTATTGTTTATTATTGGCAGAAAATCCCACACACATTGTCGCATGCCATACTAGATGGTCCCACGAGTCCGTGTGTCCCAAGAGTCCGCGCATTGACTCTAGCACACGCAATTCTGCACAGAATCCTTATCCATGATAGATCTGGATTCGCCCAAACATAATACACACTGCCATATTTTTTTTTTTGAAGAAAATCGAAGTAGATCTTGTTCCATGGGCAACTTATCAGTGCGAGAGGCATAGAAGGCTCACTCTAAAGGTCAGATCTCCACATATAATTCTGGAATATTGTGAGATGGTTATATACATGATTAGAGAATACTAAAACAAATTTATTCGGGGCACATGCTTGTCAGGATCATCTGCGATAAAGAAATAAGCCCCAGACGTGACAATCTGCCCAAAGCGTTACATAGAGACTGTGTAATCAAAACTCCGCAATGCCGAAATGCTTTACACATGCACAACTTCACAACATTTAAACGGTGCGAATTCTGCGGAGCGTGAAAAGGCATCGCGGCAGACGTGTGACATAGTGTGATGAAGTGCGCGAACTCTAGGGAAAATGCACTTTTCTGCGCGGTAACTCTCCGCTGGACTCAACACGTCAATTTTCGAAAAAGAAACTAGCAGACGTTGTACTTTCGATGTCACGCTATCGAACTGTCAAATAATTAATTTTGTTTGTTTGTGCGATGTGGAGTAATAACCGTTTTGCCAAAAAGGCGCGAACTCCCGTGGACATCTAGTATGACCTTGCAAGCAAGGTGACAGCGTGGCAAGTCTTAGACTCTTAAGGGATCTTGGGCGGAAAGAAGAAATTCATCCTGAGTGCGATAGAACACCAACACAACCCGAGAAAGTCTTACCGTGACACTCAAGCTCTGTGTTCTCTAACGCGGTCAACGTCGACTGCAGCAATTGTGTATGAATTTATTTATGCAACATGATGCGCTGCCGTAATGCTGACACCAAACTAGAAATATCCTGCCGTACAATGCCAAATTTACCATTCCTCGCGACCATTCAATCCGATCCTCTCTCTGGACTTCTGAGTGATCCATCTGATACCGATTACCGCAGGCAACGCCTGCAACAAATTGGTAGCTATCCGAGTCCGACACCCATAGCACAAAATCAAGCAGACGATGAGACGACTGCGTTATGTGCAGTCCCCAGCGGCACCGGTTACGGAACATTGCCCATCGTTCGCCCGCGTCGCGCACGTACCCAAACCAGTCTTTGGGTCGCTCCTCGCCGACCTACTCTCCCAAGCCTTCCTATAACGCGAAGTGGGACTATTTCTGTTCCCGACTCTCCATCGGCCTTCTCGACAACATTTACACAAAGTATACACCACAGGCGGATTTCCCAGCATCGGTCCATATCTGTCTACGATGCCCAGCTCGTAAATGCAAATGCCGATGCTACGGAAACTGAAATCGACGTTCGAACCAACGGATTCCGCGTATGGTACTCCTCGTTCACCTCAATTGACTGGCTTCACGATTCGATTAAAGATTCGGTCCGCTTTGCCCGGCTCCGGCGCGGCAAGTCCATCCGTTCCAGAGTCCGACTTGTGTTCGACAAGAGCCTTGGATGGATCATCGTCACGGTCGTCGGGGTCCTCACTGCCGTGGTTGCATTTCTTGTCGTCCGTGCAGAACAATGGCTGTTTGATGTGAAACAAGGCTACTGTAAGACCGCATTGTGGCATGCACGGCATTTTTGCTGTCCTCTGCCCGATGAGTACGGGTCTTTGGATGACCATTGTCCCGCTTGGAGGACTTGGTCAGATGTCTTTGCGTCATGGACGGGCAGCGGATTGGGAGGTGAAGACAGTGTTGTGCAGTATCTTGCGTATACCGTCATTGCGGTAGGTTTCTCGGCTGTGTCGCTGAATTATGGCCATACGACATCTCATACATCCTTAGATTGTATTGGCCAGTACTTCGTCGCTCCTCACAATCAATCTCACGGCGTCGACGTCCTTCGTCACTCGTAAAGAATCCGGAGTTCTGTCTCCGGATTTTAACAAGAGTGGTGAACAAAACCCTCCGAGCTCTTCGCAGCCCAAGCGTGGTGTGATCTACTATGTACGCACAAGTCTTTCTACAGAGTGTCCGCACTGATTATGATATGCCATGACAGGCTGCAGGGAGTGGAATTCCGGAAATCAAGACGATTTTATCTGGTTTGTGGCGGTCAAAGTTGAAATGGCCATCTCTCATTTTCAATTTCTTCTATTGATGTAGGCTTCGTCATTCATGGTTATCTCGGTGGGCGTGTGCTATTTATTAAAGCGCTTGGACTGGCTTTGTCAGTTAGCTCAGGATTGTCTCTTGGTGATTACCTTCGCAAGTTACTTTCGGCACGCAAGCACTGATGGGCCTGAAATTCAGGCAAGGAGGGACCTTTTGTCCACATTGCGAGTTGCATAGGCAACATCGTCAGTCGTTATCATACCAAGTATGAAAATAACGAAGGTTAATTTCCAGTGTTCAAGTTTTTTTCCATACTCATATTTTTCTGCAGCCAAACGTCGTGAGATACTTAGTGCAGCATGCGCAGCAGGTGTCGCTGTTGCATTTGGGGCACCCATTGGTGGGACCCTGTTTAGCTTGGAAGAAGTCTCTTACTTCTTCCCGCCAAAGGTAATATCCTTCCGTTGTGCGTGAATCAGTTTCTAAATCTGCTGTTGGATGTTTCAAGGTTATGTGGAGAAGGTAGCCACCATACATTCCAAGATGACATTGTGTTGAATTCAACTTTCTAGCTTTTTCTGCGCGATGATAGCGGCCGTGACCCTTCGGTTCCTTAATCCTTTCGGAACTGGTAAAGTCGTATTATTCCAAGTCACTTATGACAAGGTTTGGAACGCAGTATTTGACTGGTCGCTTGCTCATTACATCCGACAGGATTGGCATGCATACGAGCTGATATTTTTCATCATACTTGGAGTTCTTGGAGTGCGTATGTCGGTTCTCTTGGAGGACAGCTCATTAAACGAGGTCTCAGGGAGTATACGGCGCGTATTTTTCCAAGCTGAACTACCGCTGGAGTCGTGACGTTCGTGGCGGAACATGGTTAAAGGCGCATCCAGTTGCAGAAGTCATCCTTGTGAGCATCACCTTGTTTGTCCGTTATCCGGCCTTCTTAATGATGTAGGTGACCCTCGTAACCACCGTTTTGTGCCTTTCAAGTCCCTATGCGCGCATGGGGGGCACAGATCTTGTTTATAATCTCTTCTCAGAATGTCGCACAGGTAGTAAAAACACACATTTCAATTTGTGTGTCCTGGATCCAAGTAATTTCGACCATGTTTGGTCTGTTGTGCGAGCAATCCTTGTTGCCATGATAGTCAAGGGTTTCCTGACCATAATTACATTTGGCATCAAATTGCCGGCTGGGATTTTTGTACCCACCCTCGGAGTAGGTGCATGTGCTGGACGGATTGTTGGCATTGCTGTGCAATGGCTTCAGTACCATTACCCGAACAGCATTGTGTTTGATGTATGCGAAGGTGACATGGATTGTGTCGTGCCTGGCCTTTATGCAATGGTGGGAGCTGCAGCGGCCTTGTCTGGCGTCACTGTGAGTAACCGACTCCAAGTCCTCGGTACCAAGAAGTTGATTCTTCTTCAGAGAACGACAGTGTCATTATCGGTCATCATGTTCGAGCTGACCGATACCCTCACGTATGCCGTTCCTGTCATGCTGTCTGTTCTCGTTGCCAAGACTGTAGCCGATGCCCTGGAACCTAAGGGAATTTATGACCTGGTCATTGAGTGAGAACCTAGTCCGAATTCCACCGGTCTTCCTGACACTTTTCACAGGCTATCTCAACTTCCGTACCTAGATGCTAAACACGAATACTTATGGTCTAATCTGTCCATCAAGGAAGTGGTAAGGGCATTAGTACTCATTGTTGAGATTTGACTTAGTATCACTTCTAGACCGATCGAGATGTGGATGTGATCAGGGTTGACCGACACAATACCGTTGAAAGTCTTCGGGACCAATTGCAATCACTTCTGAATGCTGAGCATGATGATGGTGGTTTCCCTATTCTCAGGCCAGGTCGCGACGAAGATGGTCTGCGCATGGTTGGCTACATTGGCGCTAGCGAACTAGAGCATGCTCTCGGTAGGTACCCTCATTTTCCCATACAAATATCATCTGACAAAAAATATAGCCGTCGTAGCGGAGAGAGCAACCCAGGAGGTTCGCTTCCATACTACCTATTCGGATGAGGCTTCATATTCGACCTGGGTGGAAGAGCCAGGGCAGAGTGAAGACGATCCATTCGACTTCAGCGTATACATGGACCAGGTATTTCCTTTCGTTTGATTTTATGATGTACAGACACTCAAATGGACGTAGGCGCCATTGATGATTCAGTCCAACTCGCCTTTGGAGCTCCTTCACCAATTCTTCGTGAAGCTTGGTGCACGTTATGTTATAGTGACGGACACTGATGGTGACTGTACGAATATTCATTCACTCCCGTTTTGTGTTGCTGAAGTTGCACTTTTCAGATGAAGGTATAATCGACAAGAAGACATGGCTAGCATTTCTCAGCGAATTGGAGGAAAGATCATGATAAACCTGCGACCTGCGGCCACATTAATCGGTTTGCTAGCTAATGGACGTGATCAATAGACACTGACACACTATGGAATTATTCTGTGGATACTGGTTGGATACCCAAATCCGAAGTACGAAGTACACAATACTGACACAGACAATATACTCTGCTGTAATGTTTATGATTATTGACCTTAAGTTATCGCAACTACAGTACCAGTACTACTTACTTTACTACGCAATATACTATACCTTATGACCACTCCGGTAGAATCGCGTTGTAGTACGCGCTGACCGACACCATACATGTCTTCGCGCGTCTCCCAAGCCGCTACCAAATCTCCCGACCCTTATGAGTTGGAACGGTTAGCAGAAGAACTCGTTGCGCGTGAGCTCGCAGGGTCCACCTATACTCCTCGAACTACTGCCTCGACGGAGCTGCCGATTTATGTCCCACTATCGCATGACAATCCTCATCTAACTGCAGAAGCGTTCAACGTCGAAGAGTTTTTACTCTCCCGATCACACACATCTCTACAAGACTTGCGCTCAGAGCTTAGAGACTACCTTACTTCGTTGAAGGAGGAGTTGGTGTTACTCATCAATAACGACTACGAGGCATTCATCAGTCTGAGTACAGACCTAAGAGGCGAAGGCTCGAGATTGGAGAAGCTCAAGCTCCCGCTCGATGACTTGCGGAAACGTATCTCAGTGAGCATCACCATTACTCTACGTGTCATATCGTCCCGCTGATTCGCCATGCAAGGAGTCGCGAGCTGGCCTTCAGGCTACGCAAGATAGCATTCAAGAGACGCTCGATGCTCGCACCAAATTACGCGAAGAGAAGGTTCATACTCGATCTATGGGGTCCAAATTCTAACTGAAGCGTTGGTGGTCTTCAGGCACTCTTACATCTCTTGCTCAAGATATCAGAGTCTGTGACTAGACTCGAAAGTCTTCTTCTCATCTCTCAAGTTACCACGTCGTCACTTGAAAGTCACAACAGCAATTATCAATTCCATCTTCCGGCCTCTGCAGGACAGCCTATCGACGCCAAGTATTCATATTTCTTTTGCTGTTGTAAACGACCTAATAGAGTCCTAGGAGCCAAGGCAACCGCGCCAAGCACCTTTCCAGAGTCACTGCTGAGTATACTCAACTTCTGTATCACATCGAGAAGGCAAAAGAAGAAAATTGTGCTTTTGTGGATGAAATACGATGGGTTTGTTGCGACCTTTTTTTCATAGTACGATTCTGATACAAGTCTTTTTTAATTTGGGTTAGCGCATTGACCGCATACAATCAACTCTCACATCTGATCTAGACCATGTTTTCTCTGCGATCCTAACCTCCCTGACGGACATCAAAACAGGAAAAGTTCTAGACCTCGAACGAGCTAAACTATATGTTGATTTGACTGAATGCCTAAGGATTTACGATTCACTACACCTTTGGAGAGTTGCTGAAGAGATCATGCGGAGAGACGTAATGCAGGCCTTTATCAAGAAAGTATGGGATACGTATTATTTCTTCAGAAAGAAGTTGCTCATATTTCCATCTAGACTATCTTTCCTGATGCACTAGCTGTATCACTCTCGCCAGTGTTACCCCACACTCCACTTCCCGCCGCGCTCTTTACCCGCACAGAATCACGCGGGAGCGCGTTGTTTCCCCGTACCCCATATACCCCATTCACTGCATTCGCCACTAAACAAAATCCTTTTGAAGCTTCACATGTTTCTGGACCGGTGCACTTGCTTGACGAATCCAATGATGCGCTTGCAAGGTTGTACAATCAGATTCTTCGCTTTATTGAGCGAGATTTTGGACGCATCATGGAGATTACCGAACGAGTTTCCCTCAAGGCGGGTTCAACTAAGTCGCAATCAGGTATATCATTGGGAAACTACGACCTCGGAGACGCACAACAGGTTTCTGCGGATGGCTTCGAGATTATGACCAATGTAGTGTGGGTAGAAATTGGTAGGGCAATAATGGACGAACTTGGTACTGTTGTATTTGCGCCCGGAAACCCAAACGAGTTCCGCAAGGTAAGGTTCTATGAATTTGTTTTGTGATTCATTGGGTGTCGACCCTTGGTTATAGCACCACTCTACAACGCAGGCCTTCATCCGTTCTCTCGAGTTTTTGGCTCCTTCCACGCATTCTGTGCAAAACATGCGTTCTCATCCAGTTTTCACTGCATTTCAACGACGTTGGCAGCTCGATGTATATTTCCAGCTGCGGTGGAAAGAAGTCATCCCTAAGCTGGAAGAAACGTTGTCGTCGAGAATCTTGGATCCTGAAGCACCAAACTTTACTCCAGGTTAATTACCATCAACTTGTTTTCGATGGATGTCCCTAGCTAACTATTCTCAAGGGCGCAATGTGTTTGTAACGGCACAGGCTGCCGACGTTTTCACTGCAATTGCTTCGTGCTGGAGTGCAGAAGTGTACATTCCCGACCTTGCGCATCGCTTCTGGAAATTCACTCTTCAGGTACTTCTCCTGTATTGGTTTTCAGGCGTCGAGGTGAACACGTTTCTAGCTCCTCAGTCGATATCGGGAATGGTTGGAAAGCTCATTGCCACCTGCAGGAGGGTCTCCAGTAAAACCTGCTGCCAACATTACGAATGAGAAGGCCTGTGTTTTGATGCACACCAGAGCATTCGTTAACCTTTTTATAGACCTCAGCAATTGTCAACTCTCCAAGATCTTCAACTCCTGGGCTCACGCCAGAAGTGACTATTGAAAGTACGGCTGCTGACGAGATCTTACTAAGGCAGTTTGCAACGGCTCTCGTTGATATTCGGGCGATGACGAGCCAAGTCTTGCAATTGTGGAGAGAAGAGATTAGCATGATGCTTCCCGACATGTCGATAGAAGATGATACAACAGAGGAGGTGCTAGAAGGTCAGCCTAAATACCTCCCATCTTCACATTGCTCAACTCAACATCTGCAGTCGCTCTGAAAACTCAACTGGAGCAGTTCAATGCCCTTTCTACATCATTGTGCAGCCAGGCCACAGCCATATTATCCAGGCGGTGCTGCGATGCCTTGTTGCCAGTTCGATCTATTCCTTCGCAGTTTAGAGCAATGTCCAACAAACGACTACCCTCCGAACCAAGTTACTTTGCACCTACCATCCTCCGCCCGGTAAGGATCTTCTTTGGAATCGGCACTGGTGGTGGTCCTGGGGAACGACTCAAGGAGGAATTGTTGAGGGATGTCTCAACCGATGTAGTCGAAAGTGTTTGCCAACGGTTCGTATGTTCTTCCGGTGCGATTCACATGATTTTGATTTGGCATCAAAGGTACATACAGTACTTGACTGCGATGAAGAAGACCGAGGAATCTCTACGACGGCTGAAGAAGGGGAAAAAGTCGACATTATCTCTCTTCGGATCTGCCACTGCTGGAAAAGATGACGGAAAAGACGAAGAACGCATCCGTGCGCAGATGATACTAGACGTCGAAGCGTTCAAGACAGAAGGAGAAGCCCTAGGGGTCGACATGCAGTCTATGAACAGTTTTATAGTTCTGGATCAGATGGTTCGAGCTGAATTGGTTGACGGCGATCTCTGATACTTGCCCATAATTTATACCCTTCGCTGGGAGCAATGTTCTCGGTTACTATTCGATCATAGTAACAGAATTATAGATTAGGTACAAAACATGCGATTAGGAATCCAAAGCTGAGCATCTGAGATGGTATATAGTCCCTGTCCGTGAAAGTCTAATCTGAACGCCCTCGACATCTGCCTGAGAAGGAAGTAAAGTCCGACCACATGATGAACATACACCGCAAGATGGGGCCCAGCCACGCATTTTCTCTTTTGCGTATAGTTCTACGGAATCGAACACATCCCGGTCAATGAGATGTTTCGAGATGATTAACATGTCTCCATCGGTTCGATACGATTCCAGCATGCCAGTCAGAATCGTACGGAACTCCGCATAGAGGATGCCTGTCGTGCCGGAGTGAATGGCAGGATCCACCAAACGCTTGAACAGTCGAGGAAACGATACTGCCTGAGTGGAGCTTACAGAAACCAAAGACGCAAATGTCTCTTGGACGATAGCCCGCAAGGTCGACAACACTTCACTCTCAAGCCCTGCGTCGCTACCTTTGCCAGTGGAGCAGCAGGCCGAGAGGGTTTGTACAGTATGAATCTGGCTAGCCAGAAGCTGGTACCAAATGTCCTCGAGAGGAACTTCTGCAGGAGAAGACGAACTGGAATGTTCCATGCATACTGATATACCGCGTCGTCCAATAGCTTGCAGGTCATTCAGGTGTTTGTTGACCGAGTCCGTAGAACTAGGAGCTGGCGAGGCTAGTGTGCGCGCAAGATCTAGCGTGAGTTGCTTCTCAAATACGTCGGCTTTTGAGAGGGCTTCCCGTGGCTGTCCAGTGTAATTCAAGGCCCATATGACAGCATCATACGCTCCTGCTTCCTCGCATATACCCAAAGCCGTCGGCCAGTCAATGCCGTCTTGTAAACGTTTAAGGACGGAAATGACACCAGAAGGAGAAAAACGACACTGCAAGCTGACGAAGTGGTGGCGAAGCCGGCTATTGATACGAGTCGGGGAACTGGGAGTGGTAGAATACTGGTCATATTCACTGTCAGGGATCAGGTGGTTGAGGTAGACAAATTGGTCGCGATCATCCGACAAGGGGGGTCTCTGAAGTGCGGTCTCATGAAGCTGAGGGGCATGCTTGTCTAGAAGAGACGCAGTTGCAAGAACGTCGGCTTGTAAGAGTTGATCCAGTGAAATGGCGAGAGTATTAATGACATCGCCAGGAACCTGCTTTTTGTTATCTCTTGCCGAACTGGCAATGGCTTCTTCCAAGCCGCTGAATATTTCTGAAGAACGGAGTTCTGGATCATGAAGGAACGCGGTGAGGAGGGGACCCCAGCGAAGCTCGTGGCGGTACCGACTACGTAAGATGCGATAAAATCCGGCATCTTCAAAGAGCTGCAGAATTCGGTCTCCATCATGAGGGGTGTAAACGGACAGGAGATACTCTGCCGCGAGCTGACGGTCCTCTCGCGTTTCCACTTCAGGCTGGATAGCGAGTGCAATAAGAATGTTATGAAGGATACTGGGTGCGACTTCAATGTGGTGGGGGTACTTTGGGACGTTCCGTGCAATGAAGATATTCATAAACGTGGCATCAGATGGTGAGAGATCTTCACTGGACATAATATCCAGTAGAATCCTCACTATCATCAGCCGACTCATGTCTGGGAAGTCGTGTAGATATGAGTCCTCAAAAGCCATATCCAAGCAATCCAGGAACGATTCAGCATCGAAGCGGAGTAAGAGTCGAGCATAGGGATATGTTGGTTCCATACCGCTCTCGTCTTGGGATGTCAAAACCATATTTCCTCCTTCAGCGGGCCAGATAGTGGAATGTCCGCAAAAAACGAACGAGTACACATCTCTTTTAGCAAATGAAGCCTCATCTGGCTCCATAGGCTCCTGGCTTGGATAGATTTTCCCACACAGCACGGTTGCCAAGTAAGAATAAATCTTATAAGCATTCTTAATGATGGTGTCTGTAGGCGCTGGGTTCTGCCGTAGGCTACGGATAAGGGCAAGGGATTCGATGATGGGAGAAACATAATCTCGCAGTGCACGAGTGTACACATAAACCAACGCATCCCATAGCTGGTGGGTTCGGCAGAGATTAATGGCTTGGTTGATGTCCAAGCAAGAGGGCTCGATGTGCCAGATAATTCGTTCTGCGAGATCTGGACGTCCGTCCTCCTCATGTAGCGCCACTAGTCGTTGTGTGATGCGAGGAGGCACTGAAGGGATGCTGCCATTCAACACGAAAGGTTCAAGCTGATGGAGGAACATCCGGTAAATGCCGGCGTTTTCGTACTGCTGGAACAATTCTTCGAACAAGAAGTCAAAGTCATCCAAAGCAATACAAGCACGGGCACATGTTGCTACCAGATCTTCAAAGAGCGAGGTGCGATCGACGCCCCGTCCATCAAGTGACGCGTGTGTGCCATCTGTCATGCGGTCTTCAGAAAATGCATAACGGGAGGATGCCACCATCAGGTCATGAATTTTATCAGCGATTACGATCTGACGTTCTTCTGGATCTTCAGGAAGACCATTACGGTTGCCAGGAGCCTCGCCTGTATAGTATGTCCGGGTCAGATTGATGGCACTGAGAAAATCACCCTGTTCAACGAAGGACAGGATCCTGTCAGCCCAGCTAAGCAAGGTACCAACAAGTAGTTCCTGTCGACCCTGAGAAGGGTGTCAGTTCTTTCTTGGCTTCTATATGGAAGGAATGCGAAGCTCTCACCAGAAGGAAAACCTTTCCTTTGTAGGTCCGAATACTATGGGCGATGTCTCTCACAGATTCCGAGTATGATACCGAGCCATTTCCCGTAGAACCTAGCGAAGGCGATACCAGCGAAGAAGAGTCGAATCGGACAGTTTCAACTATTTTCATGCCATGCACATCATAGATACTCAAGGTGCTCGCAGTAAATATGGCCATTTGCTGTCAAAAAGGAGCATGAGAACTGATGCATTACATTGGAACGAACTTACATTGACATTAAGCCATTGGATGGCAAGGACGGCATCATCCATCATCCACTTTCCCGCCTCCTCGAACACCAGCGTGCCAACTTCCACTTCGTTCATTTTCCCTGTGCGGCTGTTTAACACGGTCTGTTTGATCTTCTGTTCATGTACACGTAATAGATATACGTGACCCCCCCACGAGTACGAGAGAACAGGATGAGTTGGCGTGCGTTGTGATCGTTTCCCGTCCTTTGCATTCTTCTTGCCCATTGTTTTGTCCAATTTTTCTGTGGAACTATCTTGAACGCTAGGGAACCACGCAAGACATCCTCTCCTTCGATAAGCGGGGAACGACAATTGTTCCTCATCTCGCATAATTTTCAGCCATGTCTTTGGAGTAGGCTGCAGGCCCACAACAACGAGTTTTGTAGGCGTCAGCAAGGCAGCAATCTGATATGCATCGGTGGAATGTGGAAGAGGTCCTAGAGGAAGAGTGCTCATTGCTAGGATTGTATTGTATGGTCGTCTTCTGCGGCGAAAGGAGGTGCGATTGAGTGCGTTCTGTTGGGAAAGTGGGTCTGCGGGATGACCAACGATACTAGCTTCGGGAGCATCCTCTCCATGATAGTTCCCGAAAATGCGTATCGTATCTGATGCATCCACAAATAGGACTTTGCCAAGGCTGTGATAAAACGATAGACCGTGCTCATCAGCGGAGACCACAGCTGTATGACGGCCAGCCACAAATGATATGCTGATGATACGGGAGCCTGAAAGATGTCCTTCCTGTCGGCCAGACGTGATAGCGGCAAGAGTAACAGGTGTCACGGTACGAGCTGCGACCTCAGGGTTTTTTAAGTTGAAAAGTTGGATGTAGCCCGTAGTATGCCCAGATGCGACAAATGTATGGTCGTTCGATAGCGCAACCGCGGAGACAGGCCCAAGGATTGATCCTGAACGAGATTAATTAGATGTCAAATGCCGATTTAACAGGTTTGAAATTACCCGACGAATCACTACCGCATATACACTTCAATGTTTGCTTGAAATCGAAAACGAATATGCGGCCCTTATCTGTCCCAACGCAGATAAACCCATTGGCAGCCAGGACCATGGGAGCTCCTGCCATTATATCCCCAAGGACACTTGATGCCTTTGCAGGTTTCTGGTTGTAGAGATGAGACCCCGCGCTCCGGAGGGACGACCACCGAAACACTTCTCTCTCCTGGCCTATCAAAAATCCATTATTGCCCGTTGAAGGAGACGAAGTCCGCGAAATCTCTGAAAAATGAGATGGGGACGGGGAGAAACTATTCATAGCTTGGGCATGGGGAGATTCGGTGCTGGGAGCAGGGGAGCGGAGTCGGGAGACGTTTGGGTGTAGGAATGGCTTGGGGAATTGTAAGAAGGGCCCGTTCGGCGGAGGAGACCCTACTCTGCTATGTGGGAGAGAAGACATGGCTAAGGAAGCGGATGTTGGAGCGGTGACATCCAACTGAATATCAACACGCTGCACATGCGTGAGTACATGTCTAGGCTGTGAGGCGTGCCACTGCTTACCGGCACACCACGAGGCAGTTCATTAGAAGCACTGCTATTTTCCTGCAAAAGCGCCTGCTCCACCTCCTGTTCTTCAGATTCATCATGATCATATGAATCCTCAGGCCCGAGAACGTCTCGCAGCTGATCTCGATAGTTGTCGCCTGTGACCTGATCAGCGTCTACACCATCGTAGACGAATCCACCATCATCTTCCTGTGCTTCTGCGTCACCATTCTCATCGTCACTGCCGCTGAGCAATTCCTCCATTCGCGTGGAGTAGCCTCTGCCTTCATCATCTTCTACGTCCTCTTCATTACCGGAGAACGTCGGCGACTGTTCAAAGTCGAGAGCGCGCGGTGAAAATTCCTCGTCGTTGGCTGAATGTGCCGATGCTGATGACATAGACGCCTAATGTTTGATGGTCGCGGACGTCGTACGCAGCTGCGGTAGCAGTGGCCTGATTTCTCCGTTCCGAATTAGGTAACTTAATTTATCGGTATCACGTGCCTGCAGGAAAACCCAGGGCTGGATGCGTCGAACCTGTTGAATTCAACACGACCGATGGGCCGCCTCATGCATTATACTATATGGGATCCTTCCCTCCACAAAATCGCAAGGACCGAGAGTTGGGTTAAGCTCATCAATAGCTTGATGTGCTTTTTTTCATTGTTGCACTTTGTATTGATATTCCATAAGACGTCATGAAGTTCTCTACAAGTGCCGAGCTCAGTATGTATGATTTTTGATGTGTTCCTGTTCCTCTAAGTATCGTTAATTTTTGTTGTATATATCACGTCAAGTACCTGGGTATAAGCATAGTAACATCAGTGTGGGATGTCAACACACGATGTCCTCAGGGTACGACGTGTCAGAGAACTCGCGCGATACTAGATGCAAGAGTTGGTGCCGTATCACAATAATACAAAGATATGCTAGTGAAGTGGTCAGGAAGTAATGATGCGTGATGGAAGGGGTACATCGAAGATTAATACCAAGTCTATGATCATCCTGACACCATTCTTCGTTCCCGCTCCCTCGTCTTCACGCCCGGACCAAACCGCTCTTGGAAGCTTATCAGTTCCTCCATCAACTCCTCCATCATCTTCATCGTCGATGGCGCTGACGAATTCCCATAACTGGTATCTGAGGACCCGTCGACGGAGATAGTGGCGATACTGTCCAAAACCATAGGTGAGCCCATGGTGTCTCCTCCACCGACTTCACGATCATCGTGAGGTGAGGGGTTTGTGGAATTCTGTGTTTTCACCGCCCTCAGCGCCTTCTCCAGCGCATCTCTCCGACGCCCACGGTCAAGCGCCCCAGCTTGCTCCCTTCCCACCCACTCTACCAATGCGCGCACGCGCTTGTTCATATCCCCCACACTCATTCGTTTACTGGGCCATTTGACCTTCACACCCCTCTCCATGGTCCGGTCGACCGACTCTCTGGGCCCAATGCCCGAACCGCGGACTTCAAGTGGACGGGGCGTGTCTGTCGGCAGCATTGGTTCCAGGTGAGCGAGATAGTCTGGTAAGTTCCATGACGTAAACATTGGTTGTTGCGAGACAGCATAAGCATGGGAATTGCGGTATGCACGAGAATTCTCTGAGCTGACAACTACGACTCCAGCGGCGCGCCTGGTAGGGTCACTTGGCACGCTCCCAGCGTGAGAAGATGGAGGTGGTCTTTTGGGTGTGGGGTTTGTTTTGTTCCGGAGGCTTGCCGTAGGTCGCTTACTGGGACCGGCAACTTGAATTTCATTAAGTCACGTGAGTTTTATCCTTGTCATTGAATTGCTACTGACATACCTTCTTCGCCTTCAGCGGCAGTGACTGCATCTTGATTAACAACTGTTGTCTTCCGTGATCCACCGCCTCTTCGATTGCGGTTGCCGGACTTCGCGCCGCTACCTGCCTTTTTAGCTGGAGGAGCTGGTATCTCCTCTGGCACGGTTGTAACTACTTCTGGCTGATGATCAGAGGCAGTTGAGGCTGATCGTGTACGTTTCTTGGGAACACTGTTATGACGTCAGACAAACAAAAACACATGAATATAGCAAGAATACTGACACGTCGTCCTCTGTACGCTTGCGCTTTTTGCGACTGTTCGAATCTTGATCTTCGTGGCTTTCGGCGTGACCATTGACACTCCCATTTGTTTGAGCGGGATGTGGTTCTGTCGCGGCTGCAGCTTCAGCTGCTGTCGCTTCAATGATCTCTTTTAAGCTCTCGTCAAACGCCGCGTCGCGGCTGTTCATCGTGTTCCTTCGTTTGGGTGGTTTCAAAAGATGTGTCGGAGAGTGTGATCGTGACAGACGCGAAGCAGTGTGGTGTGAGTTGGCAGATGATTGGCGAGGTTTTTTGGCTAATCTCCTGTGGAAAATGGAACTAGTCAAAACGAGATAGTGAACATAGAACCAAAACCAGCTTACTTCAGAAGGTCCTGGTGACGCTCAGGCTTGCATTGTTCACAGTGGTATTCGTCCTGGAGATCCGCTTCATGCTGGTACCCCATGCATAGGCCATGCTGCCAGACATTGCAGGTTTCACACTGAACCATGAACTCTCCTGCATCAGCATCTTCCTCTGTTGAAAAGGTAAGAGAATAATCGAGACATAGTCAAAGATAACATACCATTCTGGCCACATATGCAACGCGTGATACCCTGTTCCTCTGGGTCATCGTCTTGAGGGTCTGCGGCGCTTCCGGTATTAGAGTTACTGAGTTTAGTGGAAGCTGATTCGATCAACTGGTCAGTAGATGTCGAGTTTTTCTCCTTGCCGTTGGCCTTGCGCTTTGCGCGCCCGTTTGAGTTCCCATGGCTGGAGTTGGCGCCATTGGTATGAGCGTTCTTGGTAGGGACAGGCTCTTCGGGATCCTCTTGTTTTAAACGCTTTGTGCGGTTGTTGTTGCTGTTGGAAAGTATGGCAGGACGTGTGATAGGCTCCTTTGTTCGGGGGAGGGACTCAGAGGCCGGGGAATCTGGAGATTTAGAAGTACTAGCTGAAGCAGATGGAGCAGAACGTCTTCCTGAACGTCGTGTTTCTCGTGGTGAAAGAGGAGGACCCATTGTTGAGGACTGGGCCATAAACTGGTGGTGAGCAGGGAGAGGGGAAGAATTTGTTTGGCAAGCTTGTGGTGGATCTGAGTATAGTTTGACTTTACATTTATTTAGGGCTGGCAGCAGACTTGTTATCTTCCGACTCTTCTCTGCACAATCGTTCAACTCTTTTCGTCACTTCAATTCTTTATTCCTTCTTCTATCTTACTTCACCGAGTTTTCCGGTGCAGCAGCTCATGGAAAGAATGCAAAAAATCTGGTCAAAAACCAATCAGGTCTTTGTCAGGTACGGTGGTCGTTCAGTTGGGATTGGGTGCTTATAAGACGGCGCTTGGTACGTTCTTACATTCTATCTTTCTAACAACCAGATAATCCTCAAACTGAACGACTGTGCAAGTCGGGTTGTTAGTGTCTTTGCCAGTGTTCCTCATATACCCCGCCGTCATGATATCTCGCGCACGTGATCTCTCCACGAGTGTATGACGCACGTGTCATTTTCGCGTTTTTGTAACAGGAAAATGCCTATATGGTTCTTGCGTTGCCGTCTGGCTGATAGCATGAAACCCATATAGTATATGAATACACACATGTTCCGTCCTGGACTAGTCAATTGATACAATGGTACTACGGTTTACGCGCTTTCCTGTTCCGGCAGGCACCGAGTCATTTTCATCGGTTACATAAAAGGTTTTTGTTTCAAGTTCGCGTAGATATGTCTTCATACTCTCATAACTATGGCACCAGCTCTAGAGTACTCTTCTAACGCACCTCAGCCTCTCATCTATCCGCGATTGTCTGAACATCACTTGCTATCTTCGAAAGAACCTGATTACCTTCGTCTTATTCTTACTTCCAAAGTATATGAGATCTTGAAAGAAACACCCCTGGTCTACGCTCCAAACCTTAGTGCAAAGCTAGGCAATCAAATATGGCTGAAACGAGAGGATCTACAAGAGGTTTTCAGCTTCAAGATTCGAGGTGCCTATAACTTCATGGCAGGACTATCTGAAGAAGAAAGATGGAAAGGTGTTGTCACATGCAGCGCTGGTTAGTGTGCGTACTTGCGACGCTTTAGTAATGATTTCCCCGCCTGAATCGCTGATTTAACGTTTTTAGGCAATCATGCACAAGGAGTAGCTTTCTCTGGTGAACGTCTCGGGATACCCTGTACCATCGTGATGCCAAAGGGTACTCCATCCATCAAAGTTCGCAATGTCGAAAGACTCGGCGCGAAGGTCGTACTCCATGGTGTTGACTTCGACGAAGCAAAGGCAGAATGTGCAAGATTAGCTGCCAACCATGGACTGGTATTTGTCCCACCATACGACGACCCGCTCGTAATCGCAGGTCAGGGTACGGTCGGCATGGAAATATTAAAACAAATGCCAGACTCTGACAATCTCGATGCCATCTTCGGTGCAGTTGGCGGCGGCGGCCTTGTCTCTGGAATTTGCGAGTATGTTAAACGCATAGCCAACCCAAATACAAAAGTGCATGGTGTTGAGACCTTTGATGGAGATGCTATGGCACAGAGTCTGAAGAGAGGGGCGAGAGTGACTTTAACCGAGGTTGGCCCCTTTGCAGACGGCACAGCCGTAAGAATTGTTGGCGAGGAGCCATTCAGGATATGTCAGAAACTCTTGGATGATGTAGTCCTAGTCGACAACGATGAAATATGCGCCGCTATCAAAGATATCTTCGAAGGTAAGGGATATTCCATTCCTCGTAGAATATCTACCTTGCTCATGAACATAGAAACTAGATCCGTCACAGAGCCTTCCGGAGCCTTAAGTCTGGCAGGTTTAAAGCGACACATCATAAATCAAAATCTTGTCGGCGCAAACCGAAAATTCGTTGCAGTTGTCAGTGGAGCCAACATGAACTTTGATAGGCTGCGTTTCGTTGCAGAGCGTGCAGAATTGGGCGAGGGGCGCGAAGCACTTCTGAGCGTGGAGATACCAGAGAGACCCGGAAGGCAAGTTCTTCATTCTTTCTGAGTCATCCCGTTCTGTCCCTTGCATTTGTTATTCATTACTTGACTTCTCTTCTCATGCGTATGCAGCTTCTTCGCATTGCACTCCATCATCCACCCGCGGGCAACAACAGAATTCATATACCGCTATAATGATCCGAACACCGCACACCTATTCCTCTCATTCAAGCTAGATACCTCATTTCGAAAAAAAGAAGTAGAGAAGGTGCTTGAAGAAATCAAAAATCAAGGGATGATTGCATATGATGTTAGCGATGACGAGGTCGCCAAATCTCACGCACGGTACATGATACGTGGATCCACAGCGATCCCAAATGAAAGAGTCTTCCGATTTGGTAGGTATTTGGTATTTTCACTTCGCGCTGTGCTTACCAGAATCTTGCTCCAGAATTTCCTGAACGACCAGGCGCCCTGCGCAAGTTCCTTCAGGGTATTTATCCTGGATTAGGCTGGAATATATCAATGTTTCACTACCGCAATCACGGCGCAGGTTCATGCAATATCTTCTTTGTCGTCTTTTGTTTGCTCATGAATTTGTCGCAGACCTCGGCAGAGTCCTAACGGCCATCCAAGTTCCGCAAGAAGATTACGCGGCATTTGACGAGTTTTTGGGCAATTTGGGATATCACTATGTGGAAGAGACTGATAACGAAGTGTACAAGCGATGTCTTGGAGGGCAGGTTACTCTAAATGGGTCAGCATAGGATATATGTCTGGGTCGAGCGCGAGTGCGTCGCCAGGCATGCATTTCTGTCGATGTTGATTTTATCCGAATATCAATTGAATGACACTTGAAGGTGTCCGTCTACGAGAGCTCAAAGATGAGCGCTGAGCCGTTGTGGAATATTCTGTGGTGTTCTACAGAGACCGTCAGTGAACCTCCTACACCTGATCTCAGATAAAAGAAAGGGTGGTCGGGTCGTTCAGCGCTGGGAAGTCCTGTCTTCGTGTGAAGGGTCAAGTGTAACCAAAGTTACGCGTGCCACATTGCTTGTTTGAGTCGATGTCAGTAAAATCCCGTCGCACGACATCTCTGGAAATCGCATGAAGATCTTGATGTACAACATGAGACGGTTACAACATGATGTTGCGAGGGGTCTAGACTTTAAACGATTACTGTAAGTGCGTAGGATTCCGTTCAAGGACAACAAACGTGACAGAAAGGTACAATAGTACTGGTATATATTCGTCTTTGGAAGTGCCTTTGGAGAAAGATATTGGACAGTGAGAAAAAGCACAGAGGCCGCAAACCAGGGCATAGAATCTGTCGTCAAAACATTGCTTCATACACATTTTTCGTCATTTCTTCGACCATCTTAGAACCAACGGAACGATTTACGGGTGTTGCCTAGTACTGGCCGATAAGCTCGTTGCTATAGAGCTGGGATTGGTTGAAGAGTCGCTCTTGGACTGCAAAAAGCGCTCAGGAGGAGGTTATGCGGTGGTATAAGCCTGCTTGACGAGGGGAATTGCGGGTACTGTAGAAGGGGGACTAGGGAAGCGTTGCTGCATCTCTATAATGGCTTTCACGGCCAGGGACGTGGTAAGACCGCGGTTTCCGATTTTGACACCGGAGGACCCGTATTTATAGATCCACCCAATTTCCCAGCCTCCATCTTCACATTGCAGAGGAAGCAAAGTACGAAGATCAACATCGTTGCGCAATCCAAGGTACGCGCAAAGCCGGAGGCGCATGGAGAGCGCCAGAGCGTCACCATCAGCCCCTATGCGCTCCCGAACACGTTCGATCAGTAGTGGTTTTATATAGACCGCCAAGTAGACGTCGCTGCTGATTTCAAGCAGCCTGCCAAGGAAATAAAGGAAGCACTCCGGTGTTGCGTAATATCGCGTACCGTCGAGATAAGCTCTATGCAGGAGCACCTCGCGTATCCAGTGAAGGGTGCGATCGAGCTGATGGCCACGTCTATAAGAATAGAACAGTGTGAGCGCGTTGACGCACACGACCGGATCAACGCGAGGTCGGCGGTGATCAAAGTATGTCTGTGATTACGATTACTGGGAGGTCAGCCAATGCATGGGAAAGAATAACTGAACGCACGTACCTGAATAATCCCATCGTCGTCAATATAGTCAAGCATGTCATCCATGACGGAGTGTGCTACGTCCTCAGGGCTGTTCGTTACGGTCAACCCAAGGGAAGTGGTATCCAGGTCAAAGGGAAACTCTTCGGTAGTAAGCAATGGTTTTTCTGATACCAAATCAGCTGCTAAATAATAGTGGCAAACATTGGTACATACCCTGGAAGAAATTCCACGTCCGATGTGTATCAGTCAAGTTGACGAGATTCCTGACATGCTGTTCAATGAGTGCAGGGAAAGTAGGTGATCTTCTTACCGGTTATCAGTTGCTTCTAGTATCAGGAGCTGAGCGAAGTTCTCCCGTAAGAGAATGCCGTTATCAGTTACGGATAGGAGCTTCTTCGCATTCATAGTCAAGTATTGTCTGCCCCTTTCGACAGGATCTCCAAGTAGATTATAAAGCGCACGGACGACTTTACGGGTATTGTCGAAAATGATACCACGCATTCCAAGCGAACGGGCGGAGAGGACATTCTCCATTTTATCGTCCACGAAGATGGTGCGGGAGGGGTCGGCCCCTGTACTCGAAATTACTGCCTTGTAGAAACCAAGGTTAGGTTTCCGCTCGCCCACATCGGCGGAGGTGAAGATGCCGTCAAACAACGACCAATCGGCAGGCTTGGTACGAAGAACTTCATAGTCAGGCGCCGAAATATTTGACATGGCGAAGACATGTAATGTTCCGTCCGAGCGTGCTTTGAGGTGTCGAATAACCGATATGAGCTCTTCGTTGGACTGCAGAGAGTCACGAGCATCTTGAAATGCACGAGCAACCTCTGTGGGGTCTACAGAGAATTCGCCACCAACCCTAGCATAACACTCAGCCTGGGACATTCTCCCCCTTTCGTAGTCATTCCATGTGGGAGACGATAGAATTTTACGTAAAACGTTTTGGGATATGGAGGTTTTGGTCTGGGGGGACCAAGAGAACAAAACGTCACCTATATCGAATATGAGAGTGGTGTAACTCGAGGCAAATGACATTAGGATCAGGTAGGTGTCGCAGGTAAAAATGAAAAACGGGGCACGATTAGAGCGTATATTCCTCCACAGGTTCGGCTATTTGAATGCCTAGAGGCAGTCCAAGACCGAAGTGGTTAGCTTAGCTGTTGCGAGTATGTGCCTAGCATTAGCAAACCTCTGCAGATTCACAATCTGAAGCAGAGATCTTACATACAGGTGTTTGTTTGGTCTGGCGTCTGGGACCGCGGGAGAGTCTCGGCGTTTTACGTGCTATCACTATGTTGCGCGTTCAAATCGTCGATTGATGAGTAGATTCCGCTGAATAATTGTGGAGCGGAGGACGCGAAATGCTAGTAAAGATATATTCATGTCAGTTTCTAAAAGGAACTTGTTGTACAAGTTCTGTACCTTGACAGAAAACAACTTGAATATGTCTACTGACTGTTAGCAAATCATAAGAATGGGAAAGATAACGGTAGCTCACATCTATGATCTGAATTTCGAAAAGAAACCAAAATGCTCGTATGGATTCACTCCGAGTGATACGTGTTGGCGTAGAGACGAGATGAATACGCGTATCGAAGGGAACATTGATTTTCAACAGCCTTGGACGAGCACGAGCCGACGTCAAAACGTCGCTCACTCGTCTGGGTCGTCCCCCTGGGCTTGTAATTGATCCTCTCGTCGTTCCTGGTTCGGAGCCTTCGGACTCCAACACAGACCACGACCTGTATCTACCATCGCATACGATAGGTCGGTGCTAGAAGAAGAAAACATGACGTAAATGGAAATGTCCATCGATTGGAAGTAAAAATACTTCCGGCTGACACACAAGAAATTTTATAGCTCACCGGCTGACTTGGACTTACATACTGATGCTACACTGACCCATTGAGATCATGCATCATGGAAAGTTCCTGCAATGAATCAGAATATGCCATAGACCATTTTGATCAAGTGGCTACAAGCTAATTTGGTTGAGTGTCCAAAGATTCAGCCTAGTCTCATCTTCAAGTATGTAATTAAACATCAAGCTCTGAGCATTGAAAGCTAACTTGAAGCAGTTCTCTTCTTCCATTCGTTGCGTTGTCCGCAGCTGATCACAGCCTTATTACCCTGCAACCCTGCTCTCATCATCACTTTGATAATGCAATTCTTCCCATTCTGCAACAGTTCAAACGTTCACTTCCGGATTAGCGACTGGCTACTAAGCAAAGCTGACTTGAAGCACTGGTTCTGTTCTTCTATTCGTTTTTCTTCGGATCGAACTTTGGTTCGGTTCTTGTGTGGTTCGGTCCACAGTCCAGCCATAACCGGACCATAATACGGTTTTCGGTTCTGCAAATATCAATATTGGCCGAACAGTCCTCATATGTCGGTTCGGACGTGTCCCCAACCTCGAACCGTTTTGATTTTTGACGACGGTCCACCTGTACGTACGGCTATCGGAGACTCCCTGACGGAACATCCCGGGCCCGGCGGCCATTTCGCCTTCCGAGACGATGTTACTAACCTCCTCGAACACTTCGTCGGATCGACATCCCTCGCCATCCAAACAAGAGTCCTCAAGAACACAGAAGCTCAACTGTGGTATGTAATTTTACATTTTTTCTATTATTTCCCTTGACTCGTCTTGCTGCCCAACTCCTCCAAGTCCATAGCGGCTCCACTCCCTCATACAGGCACCCTTGCTCGTCTAGTAACTCCTTATTACTGGTCGGTCAACAACATTATAATTTTTTCCACCAGACCAGCCTCCGCGCAAATGGCCATAACAGTTGCCACTATCTCCGGACTTCGTATACATCCGGCCTGTAACTCCACACACCTATGATGCGTGTTTGGTAACGGCGTGACGCGCGTCAGCGCGTTTGAACACTCAATACATCAATCCATGTGAGTATTATATGTGTAACAACGGCTGTTCTGGAGCAGGTTGATAGCAACTGTGTAGAAGTTTGTTTCCTCGCTCACTATTGTCTTACCAGTACATGTACACTGCATATCTGTGCTACCCCGGTGACCCGCTTGCTTCACGCCTATCCTTGTCTGTGTGTGTTTTCTTAGGACTCGCTTTCACTCATCCATCATGATCCGTGTGCATTTTCGCTTATTCAAACTTACCAGCGCTTGTCACTCTTGTTTGCATTAGTCGGGACTCATTTGTCCCTGCTCATCTGCATCTGCCGCCACTTATCCGTCCTCATTTGCACCTGCTGCCGCTCATTTCTGCTTTCATACTTGCCGCAGATCATCTGTACTAGAAGCTATCGACAGTCTACCAATGGACTTTACGAACACCCTTTTGACGAAACAACGCCAGCAAACTCTCGAAGCTATCGACAATCTATCCATGGACTTTACGAGTGCCTTTTCGACGAGACAAAGCCAGCAAACTCTCGAAGCTTTCGCACAACCCGATTTTATTTCCCAGGGAACACGACATCCTAAATTATTTCGACTCAAATGCATGATTATTCAGTATTTTTTTTAACAATGACAATTCTGGTATCGTCGACAACTCACTTTGTCGTCCAACCCTTCAATATTAACTTCATCGCGCGTTTCGCTTTTTTGGGGCTCGGTTCGGGTTCGAACTGAGCCTGACCGTTCTGAACCGTTCGCGATGGTCCAATTCTGGGTTCAACTATTTCGTTGAACCGGTCCGCGGTAGCACTACAACTTGAAACTCACAGCCTTATTACCTTGCAACCCGGTTCCATCATCATTCTTAACTTTGATAATGCAATTCTTCCTATTCTGCAACACTTCATCTCCGGATTAGCGATGGACTGAGTAAAGCTAACTTGAAGCAGTTCTATCTTCCATTCGTTTTTGTTGTCTGCAACTGACCAAATACTGAAACTCACAGCCTCTATTCCTAACTCGATATTGCAATTCTTCCTGATAATTCTGAAACAGTTCATCTCCGGATCAGCGACTGGCTTCAATAAGCGAAGCTCAAGCCAGAGCGGGCAGCATAATGTTGCGAGGCAGACCACGTTCTTAGCACCCGCCGCAGGCACACATCTCCTAGGATAAGGGTCTGTTAACTAGGCAAGAGGAAAGCTAAGATGGTTGGGGATGGCAGCGGTTTCGAACATGCGAAAATTCTTGTCAGGAGACTATCCCAACCGCACCGACTCGGACTTTCTCGTTCTGTTTAAGATTATGCTACTGATGCTATATACCTAATGGGAGACTGGGAGCGAATATTCCGTCGCACGACTGCAACCGTATCTGATGACCAGCCAGCTGCAAATGATAACCGTGACCCACCGACAGAATAGTTTACGGTTGGGGATAGCCAGTGGGTGTGTAGGAAGCCTTCGGACTAGGCCTCATATATCGAAACCCTAAGCCCATTCACCGAAGGACCCTTTTCAGCCATTTAACCGAAAGAGAATATAGCATCTCCGTGCAGAACGATGCTGGACTCACTATAAATGAGGTACGTGTCAAGACCACAATCACCACTCGCCAAGTAGCCATTTCAAATAAGGAATAGCTTGTTATTTGCTGACCTTCATTGTAATTGCGCCATAGTGGCGCTTTGCACCTGCACAATCCCTCTACTCGCTCATTAACACTGGACAATTCCTGGTCCACATTTCCCTCGAATTTCTAAGTTCATCTGTCTAGGGAACTTGGCTTCGACAGCGTGGCTGTCTCAGAGCGATCCCATAGCAAACTCGACTTAATGGCCGAAAATTCAACTGGATGGCCAGCCCTTGATCCCATGGCAGGCTGTATCCTACTGTTAAACTTGATCCTCTGCTGCCGCACTCTATGCCCTGCACAGACTACAAATCTTACATACCAAATCAGTAGTAGCACCAAACTACACCTTGCTCTGCCGGACTTCAAGACGCTCGCTGTACTGATCGTGGCCACTCGTCTGTTACTGAGCTATTGTAAGGCTGGTTATTAGTTCGAAGGGGAAGTGTATTTGAACGAGGTAAGAGTAGGACGCGTTAGTGATACGAGGAGAGAATGGTAGACGTTTACGTTTAAGCTCTGAAGCACTAGTGCATACGAGTACCGCCAAAGTCTGAGTCCGAGTTGGTAAAAGCGTGTCACTGGCAGCCGGAGGTAATTTCACGTGTTTTTCAATGGGTCATTTCCATTTACATCATTTTGTTCTTTTAGCACTGACCTACTACTACGCGTATGCGATGATAGATATAAATGCTTCAAGTCTTGGAGTCTGAAGAATCTGAATCAGGAGCGACAGGCGGATCGATTGCAAGCCCGGGGGGCCAGGCGAACGACGTTTTGACGTCAGCTCGTGCTCGTCCAAGGCTATTGAAATCAATATGTTCCCTTCAATACTAGTACGCGTATTCATTTCGTCTCTACACCAACACGTATAAACCTACGACTCGGAGTAGATCCGTACGAGCATTTCGGTTCCTGTCCGAGACTGAGATGTGAGCTATCGTTATCTTTCCCATTCTTTTCTTACGATTTGCCAACAGTCAGTAGACATATTCAAGTTGTTTTCTACCAGGTACATAACTCGTACAACAAGTTCCTTCCAGAAACTGATATATATATATATTCTAGTTCTAGTAATTTGTGTCCCCCGCTCGACAATTATTCAGCAGAGTCTGCTCATTAATTGACGATCAGAACGCGCAGCATAGTGATAGCACGTAAAACGCCGTGACTCTCCTCGGTCCCAGATGCCAGACCAAATACTTGTATGTAAGATCTCCGCTTCAGATTGATGTATTCCGGGACAGTAACAGGGCACTCATCACTCAGCACATCGAGATCCTAAACACACTCACCGAGATGCCCTTTCGGTTGCTTCCGTGCCGAAAAGGGATTTGGCATCTTCGTGCAGAGATGATGCTGTTCTATTTGTTCACCGGTTCACGGGATGTTCTGATGGATCTCGCATCCATTGGATGTCTCTAAAGTGGTGTCAGGTCTTAACAAAAAATGAGTATTCACGGACGAGCTAACCCAAGCAGCATGTCCACAGGAGTGTTTTCTGAGCGCTTTAGAACAAACTTTGTTTGGACTCGCATTTGCTGATCAGGGCCTATGATATATTCAACTTCACAGAGTCAATGCCCGTATCTATCATGGCTCTAACTTGAAGTCTATTACTTACTACTGAATTTATCCTTCCCAACTCTAGCATGCCAGGTACAAAGTATGATAATCAGCTCCCCATGCAGCGATAACTTATCAGGTTTGTTTCGCGCTTTGGATCAACCCACACGCCGTTATGACCATGTTTCCTTCAGTTGATAGTGGCCCTGTTAATCTCGCCATCTTATCTGCTTATTTCGTTGTCATCACATCCCTCAAGCGGTTCATTAGGAACAGACAGAACAAATTCCCCCCTGCCCAGTGCAGCTCCCAGTGTTAAGGAAATATCGTGTCTGTTGACACCAAGAAGCCTTGGTTGACTTATGCCAAATGGGCTGCTGCTTATGGTACGTGGTCAGAATCTAGATAGTCATTTGTTGTGCAAATCATTATATCAAAAGGCTTGGTTTTTATACGACTTCTAGGCCAGGAAATCGCCGTGGTGATCAATTCTCAGCACGTTGCAGAAGCCTTGATGGACAAGCGTTCTCGCATTTACTCAGATAAACCATGCATAGCCACAGTCGACCTGTACGTTCTTCTAACATTCTTCCATTCAATCATTATGGAGTACAGGCATGTTTGGTTGGTCGCTCATTTTTGCATTCGCAGGCTATGGTGATGAATGGCGTCTTTTCCGACGACTCTTCCACCAAACTTTCCGTCCTGGCTCTGCACTCAAGTTTCGTCCAACGCAGATCGAGCAGGCTCTTATTATCAATCTCATCTGTGTTGTTTTACATCACTATTGCACGATCTCCACCAATGGGCACTGATTAAGTATTTGTAACACATCAAACTTATTACACTACTAAGCGAGAAATTGTAGGTGTGGTTTAGTGCTACTGGTTTTTTATGTAGGATCGGCAGCAGGGGATCGAGTTCGACAGTAGGATACGGTTCGGCCATGGGATACAGTCGGCCATGGGATCAAGGGCTGGCTTCCTATGGGATCGCTCTCAGCCATACTGTCAAACACAAGTTCCCTAAACAGACGAACTTAAAAATCCGAGGGAAACGTGGTCCAGAAGGGGACTTTCTGGATCGGGAGTTGGCAAAAAAGGTAGTGCTAATGAGCGAGTAGAGGCAGAGCAGGTGATTGTACAGCTACAAAGCATAACCGGAGCGCAATTTCAAAGAAGGTCCGATGACGAGCTATTCCTCATAAATGACTAGAAAATATACTTGCTGAGTGGTGATTGTGGTCTTGACGCCACGTACCTCGTTTACTTTGAGATCCGAAGCTGAACTGTTTCAGAATAGAAAGAGCAGGGTTGCAGGGAGCCTATGGTCATATCAGGAATTTTACTGGGGGGGCGCCAATGCTCCTGCGCTCCGATCAGCGTTCCACGGGAGCTCGTTTGATCAGGAATAAATCCAGGCTGTAAGACGATACAAATATGGCGCCCGTCCAAGAGCAAACGCGTTGGGTAAAGTGGATACGAACGATCTGCTAGTACTTCCTGGTGGTTAACAAGTACACCTGTTCCCACTCGAGGGACTATCACAGAGATAGGGAATAGAGGATGCGATGATGTAATGTTTAAACCCAGTATTGTCGAACGTGAGGATACTACACCAAGCAGCAGGAAGCCCTCGAAATACGTCGATGAACAGTAACAATTAATGGTCTTATAAGTGCGCGATGTATTTGAGGAGAGTGACCGCAAGTAACGAAAAATGGTACCCTTAGGAAAGTACAATCGGCAACACAAATGACTCGAGCGCTCAACGTTCAACCTGATTGCTTTTGGAACAGTAGCTTGCGTAAGAGTAGCTATTGCCATTGCTTATAGAAGTAGGTCTAACAGGGGGAACAGAATGCACGAATTGGCAGATGAACCCTGCTCCGTGGCAATGACAATGGCGCAAAGATGCGACGTTTTGTGTGCAATGTGGTAAACGTTATGCTACTGAGCACGGACTCAACTAGATGATAGGATGCAAGGAGCACCAGTAAATTCCTTTCCATCTGGGAGTGAAACGTTAATGCGCAAACAGACAACTTACTGCCGTCACTTACCAACATCACCCAAACTAACTCAGTGCTTCTGCTGTGCCCCTGGCTGCGCTTTGGAGTAGAAATTATCAACCACCACATACGTAGTAAATGCCACTAGTGCGATGCCAAGCCCTGGAAACATGCTAGAAAACATGGCACGATTCGTGAACACAGGGTGTTTCCGCCACGCTTCCCTCTTCGCCCATGGGTCACGAAACAAAGGTGGATTGGACATGACTGGACTGCAGATGAAGCTAACCATGAGTCAAAATGTTATTGAATAACATGTTCAACTATACTTACTTGGATATAGAAACTAGGAAACCGCTTGTTTTCAGCTTGTTCAGCTGTGATTCCGAGTCCAGGTGATCATGTGATTTTCAGGCTTAGGGCCGGTCCATCAGGACTTCGGAAAAATTAACAGCTGCCACAGCGCGGGAGAGGCCTTCCTGTCCTTCATTTCCACTATTCTTCTTGCTTTCTTATTCTCTGTATTGCTGCATAGACACTCTGTCTACTATTCGTGTCAAATTATCGCTTCAAATAATGTCTAGCGATGCCTATATGTCTTCAGATGACGACCGACCACTTGGCGACTTCCAAAACGATGGCAAGGCCAACACAGGTAGAGGCGGCGCGAATGTATACGCTAAAGAGGAAGCTAGTGATTCTCCCATGAGCGAGGACGAAGACATGCCTTTAGTTCGTGTGCCCCTGTCCGTGTACTGCGTGCATCGTTGACTGTTTTGCGTAGTCCCAAGTTACGGTTCCAAACTCAGAACCTGTAACTCCAACAAAGTCTTTGCGGCGCAAGAGAGCTGCTGCACTTGATTCATCCAGTGAAGATGACGATACCCCTCTTGCTTCTTCTCCGGTGAAGCAATCTTCTACTATACCGATGCCGGGGACATCGAAAGCCTCTACAGTAAACGGGCATAAAGCAGTCAAAGCTGAGAGCGATAACAAACGTAGTTCTACCACTGCTAAGAAGCAACGTGCATCCACCAAGAAAGGACCCCCACAGAAGAAGCTGAAACGCGAAGACCCTGACGCTTCCGAACCTCCCGCTTCTGAAGGCGAGGAAATCACACCTGTGAAGAAAGAGAAGGTATCGAGGAAACGAAAGTCCAAAGTCAAGGAAGAGACTGATGCGGATGTGGAGGACAATGGAAAATCTAAGCCCACGAAAAAGAGAGTTACTTCGAAGAAGGTCAAGGATGGAGCAGACGGGTCAACGACTCCCCAGCCCAAGAAGAAGGGCAAAGTTAAAGATGAAGGAGAAGACGAGGAGGAAGTTTACAGGTGGTGGGAGGCTCAGCAGAATAACGATGGTGAAGTAAAGTGGCAAACGCTAGAGCATAATGGCGTCATCTTTCCTCCACCATACGAACCCTTACCCTCGAATGTGAAAATGAGGTATAAGGGTACGTGGTTGCCTTATTCATTCTACCGTGACAAGTCTGTTGATTGCATTGTAGGTAAAGAAGTAGATCTACCATCAGAGTCCGAAGAAGTGGCCGGTTTTTATGCAGCTATGTTGGAAACTGAGCACGCTCAAGATGCCACGTTCAACAAAAACTTCTTCGACGACTGGTTGAAAGTGCTTCAGGACTATCCTCCTGTAAGTATCATACTTCGCGTGCCTCTGCCTTGCTTAACTATGAGCCAGCGCAATAAAATCAAGATCACAAAATTTGAGGATTGTGATTTTCGGCCCATGTTCGAACACTTCGAAGCGGAGAAAGCCAAAAAGAAGGCTCTCAGCACCGCAGAGAAGAAAGAGCTCAAGAAGCAGAAAGATCTATTCGAGGAGAAATATGTCACCTGTCTCCTTGACGGTCGCAAGGAAAAGGTTGGCAACTTCAGGGTTGAACCTCCTGGCCTGTTCAGGGGTCGGGGCGATCATCCAAAGAAGGGCGCGTTGAAGGTGGGCACATAGCACTTGGTTCTAGAACAAAACCAAAACTTGCTCACTCCATGGTAGTTCCGTGTACGCCCGGACGATATCACCATCAATATTGGTGAAGGAACGCCTATCCCTGTACCTAATATGCCTGGACAATGGAAAGCCATAGTCCATGACCAAACTGTCACCTGGCTAGCCAACTGGGTCGAGAATGTCAACGGCAATTACAAATACGTCTTCCTAGCTGCAGGCAGTTCTCTCAAAGGGCAGAGCGACATGCAAAAGTTCGAGAAAGCCCGTGAATTGAAGGTGCAATCAACTACTGACTCTGATGCTCCATTAACTAACATTCCTCCAGAACCACGTGGATCGTATTCGCAAAGATTACTCTGCTGATCTACGCAGCAAGGTTATGGCAGATAGGCAGCGCGCGACGGCGATGTACTTCATTGACAAGCTTGCTCTCCGAGCTGGAAATGAAAAAGGTGAAGATGAAGCCGACACCGTGGGCTGCTGCTCTCTGCGGTGCGAACACGTCACGTTAGAAGCACCGGATTTTCTCATTTTTGATTTCCTGGGTAAGGACTCGATCCGGTACTACAATCGAGTCTCCGTGGATCCCCAGGTTTTCAAGAATATCAAGCTATTCAAGGACAACAAAGAGGACAGTGACAACCTCTTTGACCGCGTCAATGTGACACAACACCATTCAAAATATTTGAACATTTCGCTGATGGTTATCTTCTAGACATCGCTCCTGAATAAGCATTTGGCATCGTATATGAAAGGACTGACTGCAAAGGTTTTTCGTACTTACAATGCATCCATCACGTTTCAACAGCAGTTGGACGAAGGAACGCCAGGGGATGCCACTATCCAGGAGAAGCTGAATGCATATAATCATGCAAATCGTATGGTGGCCATCCTTTGTAACCATCAACGTAGCGCACCAAAGACTCACGAACAGTCGATGGGCAAGATGCGTGATAGGGTTCGTTTGTTCCCCATGATGCGATCTGTGACTGACAGCGCCAATAGCTCCGTTCCTTGAAGTATGATCGGATGAAACTTCGTCATGTTCTCTTCAATATGGATCCCAGATTCAAGAAGCAGAAGCAGTACGCCGATGACGAATCCGATTTAGATGACGACTGGATAGAGGACCACGAAAAGTCCCTTAAGAATAAGGAAATAGAGAAGGCGGAGAAGAAATTTACCAAGGATAACGAGAAGCTTGTTCAGGAGGGCAATAAACCTCAACCTGACTCAGTCCTGCAGGAGAAGATTGAGGCTGCTGAAGCCGAATACAAGAGGGTTGCAGAGGAACGTGGTACAGGGAAAGCCAAACTTAAGAGGGATCGTGCTCCCGAGAAGATTGAGGAAGCTGTCCAGAAGTTAAACGAGAAGATAAAGACCTTCAAGCTTCAGATGGACGATCGGGAGGCCGGCAAAGAGGTCGCTCTTGGTACAAGGTATGTCGTGCTCACACTCAAGTAACACGTTCTCACTGTGTCTCCTCTAGTAAAATTAATTACCTGGACCCTCGGTGAGTTTCAAGCTCTATCATGCATCACCGACAGCGACTCATTTTGTCATCTAGGATAACAGCTGCATGGTGCAGTGCCCACAACGTTCCGATCGAAAAGATCTTCTCAAAGACACTTCTCGCTAAATGTGAGCTCGCGTGGAGGGCATTTCATAGCAACTTACACTGACCCTGATTTTAGTTCCTTGGGCCATGGAAGTCGACGATGCCTGGAAATTCTAGTCCATGTTTTATGGCTAGACTTCAGTGTATTTGGGCTTTACGAAGGGTTTTTAGACTGCTATAATTATTCCCTAGAGATTCGATCTAGGTTTAACCCTGCCCCCCTGCTTATGGGAGGTTCATCATGTACATACCATAATAACTGCATTCATAGAAGAAATGTGTCATAGCGATGTTTGGTTCGGCGTGACGCATTGTGGCACGTGTTGCATTTGAACTTGAAGTGAGCAGAATTTAAACTGCACCAAAACTGCACGCATCAAACCTTAACTGCTACCTTGTCTGCTACCATGAGTAGGTCCTCTGGCACAACAGCGAACCCGCCATTTGTTTCTAGATCTGCCTTCGACGCTCTCACCGTCGAGGATGTTGACGACTCCGAGGACGAACAACAACAGGAAGAAACGCCGCAGACACAGGTGACTAGGTTCGTCTTCGCTGACGTTCGTGACCTCGCGCTTACGTAGCTTGCTCATTGGGCTATCTAGCACCGAGCATACGAAGCCGTCGAAATCTCAAATAAAGAAGGCTCAAAAACAAGCTCGCACCGAAAGGCGAAAACAACTCAAAGCCTCCTCAAAAGCAGGTACCGCAAATAGTTCACCTAGACATACGCCCTCTCTAGAAGAGTCCATTGCGCGTATGGCCGATGGAGCGGCAGATGTTTATCCTCTACCTACAACACATACTGCTCCCGAGCCAAAGCCCACCGCAGAGCCAGCGCCCGAGCCGGAGCCGGAGGTATCGGAACCATCACTTCCGGGGCCTGTTATTAACGGCGATATACAACACGTGAATGTCACGGAAAGTATGCATCTTGACTTCTGTCTAGTGCTTTATAAGTCGAATTGACGGAATACTCAGACAACTCTACACTGCATCTACCGAGCAAGTTGCTAGGTGGTGAAGGACAGTCCGTCTCAAAACCTGACGTCGAACAGGCACTCAAAAGTAAACCTGACCCGCAAGAAGTCGAACGCACGAAGACACGACAAAGTATTTTAACGCGAACACTATGGACGTTCATTATGATCGGAGTTTTCGTTGGTATGCATTCTTCTACTTCAGTTGTGTTCGTATCTGACCATTGCGTAGCTTTGTTACTCATGGGTCATGTTTATATGATCATGCTTGCCATGCTGTGTCAAACGATTGTCTACCGCGAAGTCACTGCTCTATTTTCACTCACAAGCCATGCTCCGGATTCTGGCGAGGCTGAAAATAAGAGAAAGAAAGATCCATGGAGCAAGACTCTAAATTGGTACTTCTTTGCCGTCACTAACTATTTTCTATACGGGGAGAGTATCATCTACTACTTCAAGGTGCGGGATAATTTTGGTTGTAATTACCATATACTGAATTGGGGACCAGCATGTTATATTCTCGGACGGTCAACTACTTCCTTTCGCTACCAATCACAGAATTATCAGCTTTACGCTCTATACCATCGGCTTCGTTGGTTTCGTAATGTCTCTCAGACGTGGATTCCTCAAGCAACAATTTGGCCTCTTTTGCTGGGTTCACATGAGTCTGTTGCTGATCGTTGTCTCTGGGTATGGATCTCGTCCGCTTTCAGACTCTATCCTAAAGGGAATCTTGCAGTCACTTCATCGTTAACAATATCCTCGAGGGTATGATATGGTTCTGGGTTCCCGTCTCGTTGGTCATTTGCAACGATATTTTTGCATATGTATGGGGCATGACCGTCGGGCGTACACCTTTGATCAAGCTCTCGCCGAAGAAAACTGTCGAAGGGTTTGTGGGTGCTTTCTGGAGTACCCTCCTGTTCAGTGTACTCTGGGGCTCGTACTTCATGCGCTTCAACTACATGATCTGCCCTGTGCATGATCTCGGAGTCTCCGCCTGGAGTAATGTTCAATGTACTCCCAACCCAGTATTTGTCTGGAAGGTGTGGCAAATCTGGTCGCCTCTCAGGGTATTTCTTTCACAGCTCGTGAGTGCAAATTAAAGTTATTTCGGGTAACTGCTCAGAGTCGCCATTAGCTCGGAAAATCAGTGACCGTGATTCCCTATGCACCATACCAACTACATCTCCTGGTTTTTGCAGTTTTCGCATCACTGGTGGCACCGTTTGGAGGTTTTTTCGCATCTGGTTTCAAGCGTGCCTTCAACATAAAGGATTTTGGCCACAGCATCCCTGGTCATGGAGGGATGACCGATCGCATGGACTGCCAGTTAGTTCCAAATCCCGAATGCATTTTATCAAGACACTCATCATTTCTAGATTCCTCATGGGCGTGTTCACCTACGTCTATTATAGCAGTATCATTCGAGAACACCACGTCAGCGTGGGTTCTATCTTGCAGATGATCGTTAGCGGGCTTAGCGCTAACGAGCAATTGGAGTTGGTGAAGGACCTGAAGAAGTACATGGAAGGACAAGGCATCATGATAGTATGAGCTGGCATGACTTGATGCGCCCATTTATGACCGGACAAGATTCCTTATGATTAACACACTTTAATTCACAATTTCCTGTGATGATGTTTTTGAAATGACATGCATTTGGATATTAGACGAATGATGACGACGCCTTGCCAAAGAACCCAACTGTATCTTGGTAGATTACGAGACAGGAAAATCGTGCGGCGTAATCCTATGACATGGTGGTTTTGGCTTTTCATTGGCGTGCGGCATGTGCGGCACAGGCATAATCATAGGTAATGCGGTAACATGAAATGACAGGGACAAGATAATGATGCTTATGACCGGGGCTTTTCCTGCGAAGAAGATGAGTACAACGATAACAGTATAAATCTGGTTAAACTGACCTTCTTCTCTTTCCACAAAGCGAGAAGACCGACTCCTGAGACCTTCACTACTTTGAAACGCACACCAGGAATATCACCTTTGGCCTTGCCACTACGACCGAAACCAGAGATGAGAACTTCATCGTTCTCATCGACGAAGTTCAAGCAACCGTCATTCTGTATCAATGTCTTAGTTAACTCGCGACAAGCGACTATGAAAGCACGTACAGGCACGAAAGCCGTGACCTTTTTGCCGTTCTTGATAAGTTGTACACGGACACATTTACGAATGGCAGAGTTGGGTTGTTTGGCTTCGACACCGACTTTCTCGAGGACGATGCCCTTTGCGTGTGATGATCCTCCAGTAGGGGAGGTTTTGTAAACGTTACCGAGGGCGCGCTTCTTATACGCCTTATCCGCCTATTGAGAAAAGCACACAGTCTAGATATGTGATGTTCAAGATATTGCGAGCACGAACCCATCGGTTGACACGGCGGTCATTGCGAAGCTTGCGAGCGGCTTGAAGTCCACGAGGTTTGTTGGCTGGTAGAAGAGTCCATTAGTACATGATTACTCCACTGATGATCACAACGAGAGCGACATACAGCCCATTCTTGAAGTCGACGAGGACGGCGAGGATAACTTTCCACTTGTGCTGGAGCCAGCTCGGCATCATCCCGAAACCTTAATTATAACTGTTACAGTTTATCAGCCACAGTATGGCTCATAATCACGTGGATATCCTAGCCTGTCGCAGGGTCGAAAGGCCGCTGAATCTCCATATTCGGGATTTTGCGAACGGCTGATATTCCTTCCATATATGTAGTTTCTGACCAGACGTTTGGCTCGAGACTAACGTGTCTCTCTTGTACAGTAATTTCAATTATTTCCCTCGCAGTGTGCACCCGGCACCGTGCCAAGTTCCAACAGTCTCGACTCGGACGCCATCTTCTCAGGCTTAAGCACATGGAAGAGCCTACTCTGCATAATAATACTCCCCCTTCCTGACATATTGTAGTGTAACACGACTGATCACGAGTCGTTTATCACTGTCTCAAGCCTGTCGTCAACATTCTTATCTTCGATTCCCACAAACTTGTCACATGGTCCAATACCGGTGTCCGCAGCTCTTTCGAATCTTTATTATATGTTCTGCTTATCCACTGATGGATTCAATATCCCTCACTCCTAACCATGTCTCAGGTCGCTGAAATCCAATATTACCACCACGGGCGCTTCCGTGTTGCAGGTGGTGTGCTGCCTGATGCCATCACTGCATATCAGACATTCGGCGACCCAAAGAATCCGGTTATCGTATTTCCTACGTGTTATGGGGGAAAGCTTGACAGTGAGTCTTCCGAACTGCTTCTCATACGATGGCTGGAGCTTGAATTAGCGAATGGATTATTAGGTCAAAGCTACATGGTAGGGGAAGACAAGGTAATGCCATGTAGCTTGTTCTTGTGTTCTGACTGACGCCAGCGATAGGTTTTGGATCCGCGTAAGTACTACGTGGTGACGTTTGCTTTATTTTCCAATGGAGAGGTACGCTACATGAGATAAAGATGGTGTGGTCAAGCTCAACTCATCTGTTGCTTCAGTCTTCTTCACCCTCTAACACAGTGAGTTTCCTCAGAGCACTATCTGGCGCAAGAATTCATGACGACGGTAGCCTGCGCCATACAACGGCCCCTACTTCCCTACTATCACATACGAAGACAACATGTGAGTTTGTTCCATCTTAGATGGTTGAAGTTGCCGACATAGTCCAGCCGGGCGCAGCATGCTGTGCTCACCCAGAAGCTTGGTGTCAAGAAAGTGTTCTGCGTGATTGGATTTTCAATGGGCGCACAGCAGGTACACGTGTTTGTAAAGAGTAATGCTGGGTTTTACTGAGGCATTGCAGGCATACTATTGGTCTGTCATGTATCCTGACTTCCTCGAAAGGTATGTATTGACGATTGTGCGAGTAACTTTTTCTCTGACCGTGGTCAAGATACATCCCCATCTGTGGATCTGCTCGAACTAGCCCTCACAATCAATGGTACTTTCAGACGCCTTACATTTGTGTCTATGTTGATCCGATCACAGCTTCCTAGAAGGTCCCAAAGCCGCTCTTTCGGCCTCAAAAGACTTCCAGGATGGCCACTACAAGAGTGTTCCTCAGCATGGTCTCCGGGCATTTGGCCGTGTATACAGCGCATGGGCATATAGCCAAAGGGTGAGCTTCCGCGTCTCTAGATAGCTGTTATACTGAAATTGCTGCAGTGGTTTGCCAGGAAAGGTTATCTCTTCAACGGAAAGTACGCCATTTTTTTGTATTCTACTCTCTGTTTTCTCAATAGAACCACTAGATACACAAACCTGAACGACTTCTTAAGAGAGGAATGGGAAAACGGTTTTCTGGAAGGGTGGGACGCCAACGATTTATTGACACTCTTGAAAACATGGCAGATGGGGGATGTTTCTCTCATCCGTGACGGAAGTCACTTCGGGAACTGTCTAGGAGCGATCAAGGCTAGAGGTCTGATCATGCCTTGCAAGACAGACTTGTACTTCACTGTGAGTTTTTCACCTTTTTTACTTGGGTTTCGGCTGATGGTTCCTTGGATAGCCGGAGGACAGTCAGAATGAGATGCAGTTTTTAAATAACGCAAAGCTAGTTATTATTGATTCTGAGTGGGGTCATATGGGTGAGTTTGTCGGGCTTGATTTGCTTCGAACTGCCCCTGATTATTTTGTAGCCGGGGCAGGTTCAAACGCGCATGATGATGAGTCCGTTCAAGCGGAGGTGAAGAAATTTTTGGAGGAACCTTAGTTCTACTTCAGAAATCATCTACAAAGCCGTGCATGTGAATTATGTGTAACTCAGTTCATGTGGATCTCCGACTCTGTAAAATGCTTTCGAATATTATTTATACTGCAAGCGAGATAACGGCCACCCATCATCCATCGAAATAATGCACTCACGCGCCCTGTTGCACTCGACAGAAACAACTTATCGGTGAGTACTCTCGGTCGCCGTTCACACCAAATGCCAATGCCGGAAAGCTTGAAATAGCATTATTGATATCTTTAGGTGGCTCGTGACCATGTGATCCATTATCCAGTCCAGCCTACTTATCGACACTCATGGTGTGTGTCGGACCGCCTGTATGAGTCCATACACGCGTGCCATAAAAGCATGTGGTTGTTGTACAGACAGTATCATCTCCCCCCTTAGGCCCTCCCCATGCAGACACCAATCCAGTATTACCATCACGGCCGCTTCAAAGTAGCGGGAGGAGTGCTCCCTGATGCCGTGACCGCATACCGGACATACGGAGACCCAAGCAATGACAAAGTGATTGTTTTCCCGACATGTTATGGGGCAAAACTCGCCCTTGGGAGTATGTTTGTTGATTGCGAACATGAAAGCAGTTGTTTATCTAATTGCACACAGGTCAAGACTATCTCGTTGGGGAAGGAAAGGTATGTACGTTCATGTAGTGGAATGCGCAGTCTTCATATCTTTGACAACAGGCCCTTGACCCAACTAAATACTTCATTGTGACGTTTGCGCTTTTCTGTAATGGAGAGGTGCGCTGCCTGCTGCTTTGCCACTTTCGCAGACTGAAGCAATATATAGTCGTCGTCTCCTTCTAACACAGTTAGTTTCTATGATTGCACATTTTACCCCCTTTTTGACAACCCTTTAGCCTGCACCTTATGGTGGCCCGTACTTCCCATTCGTTTCATACGAAGATAACATGTGCGTTATGAAACGTCTTGCCAAACAGAAAACAGACTCACACCAACAACAAGTCGTGCTCAGCACGCAGTTTTGACAAAGCACCTTGGAGTGCGCAAGCTCTTTTCCGTGGTTGGGTTTTCTATGGGCGGACAACAGGTAATTCGCCTCTTTAGTACATCGTATACACTCTCTTATGTTCTATCCCAAGGCGTATCACTGGCCAGTCGTCTTCCCTGACTTCGTGGAGCGGTTTGTTTCTATATGCTCGTCTGCTCGCACGAGTCCCCATAACCAATGGTGGGTCCTTATCCCATTTTTATTTTGTTTTGTCCGCATACAACTTGCACTCTAGCTTCCTGGAAGGGCCCAAGGCAGCGATGCTGGCAAGCAAAGATTTCGCCGACGGTCATTATCAGAGCACTCCTCAACATGGAATCCGTGCGTTTGGTCGAGTTTACAGCGCGTGGGCCTATGGACAAACTGTGAGTTACCTCACGATGAAAGATCAGGATGATATAACTTTCATAGTGGTTCCGGGAGTACAAGTACCTGATGGACGGAGAGTAAGTCATGTCGCAATATGTGTTCATGAGCCTCTTTCATCGAATTTGGCAAACAGGTACCCGGACTTGAACTCGTTCCTCAGGGAGCGGTGGGAAGGGGGATATGTCAATAACTGGGATGCAAATGACATGATCGCACTCCTGACCACATGGCAGAAGGGAGACATTTCCATCATTCGTGATGGCGGTGACTATGAGAAGGCTTTGAAGAGCATCAAAGCAAAGGCACTTATTATGCCTTCGAAGACGGATCTTTACTTTCCGGTTAGTCCCCCACGAAGTAACTGCGAGTTGACTACTGACACCATTGAAGCCGGAGGACAGCGAAACGGAAGTGTCGCACCTCAGAGATGCTAAATTATATGTGATTCCATCGATCTGGGGTCATGTTGCAGGGGGCAGCTCTAACCCGTCAGATGTCGCCTTCATAACGGAGAAGATCACAGAGTTTTTGCAAGCGCCTTGATGGAGACATGTCAATTGTACTCGTGTTGCTCTCAGCCGATTTTGCATAAATAAGTAGATTGTATGAGTTAAGGTATTTAGCGCAAAGGAACATCGGATCCATCTGAGTTCATTCCCATGACTAAGATGGCTTGCTCGTGTCGTTGTTTTATGATGGCTCGTAAGTTGAAAAGAAGGCGGGAGGATAAAACGCTGTGAAACACCAACTGGAGTCTGAGTAATAAACAAGACAAATGTCAAACGCATTCAGAATATTTGAGGGTGAAACCTACGTGTCGAGCGTCTCTGCATATTCGGACTGCACCAAAGGATTAGCAAAACCTAATTGAAAACGGCATGTCTTACCGGAAGGAAACCTATAACTATGATGTTGACCAATGACATTGCTTATACATTTTGTTAGCCTAGTACTCCGAATCCAACGACGAGAATTGCTCACCTAGTATACATAGAACATAAAATATACCATCCCAGTACAGACGCATAATGAGATGGTTCGATTGTTGTTTTCGGCGACGCCAGGCTTGAAAAACATTGAGGCATAATATGACTATGTGTAGAGTTGGCTTCAGTAACTCCACAAAAAAACCAAAATCGACCTGTCTCAAAAAGGACCAGTAGGGCATAGTTAACTGCGTATATTGCAATTCTTTGACTTTGATAACAACCAGAAGTTCCTAGTGGGGGATCCTGGTCTACATGATAGCCATGTTGGACTAGAGACTCGCCAAGAAGGGTTGTAATGAAACGTACAATCGAACCAGGATAAAGCCTCGGCACCGACTACCGCAGATCCTGCGATGCAGCCCTGCAAGATGTCGTGACTGAGATGGATATCGCCAATTGTGGGAATGGATTTACCAGCGCAAGAAGTAGTAGGGAAATAAGCAACATTCTGTTTTTTCCCCATAACGTGTACGTCCTAACAAGAAGGAGTGCTGGATATCTGGTGAGGATTGTACTAAAAATGCAGAGGGGCATCCATTACATTCTGCAGCGATGGTGCCAAACACGTTAAACCCTTTGTATTGTAATTCAAAATTATAAGGACCAAGATGCAAATATGAGGGATAGGAAGGTACTCACACGAGATGACTTGGTAGAGCGATAAACACTACCACAGAACTTCTATGAATACAACACAGTCTATATCTAAGATCGGTACTCACAACGTGTGATGATGTGGGTCCAAGGGAATCTTTGATCGTCAATTGAGCAATGCAACAATGTAAACTTGACTATAGCAGACACATACAAATCAAGTCCACTGGGACGTCAACAAAAGGTGTGTATCGAGCCACCACGAAAAGGATCCGAATAAAATCCCACTTCCTCCCCCAAGTGAGGCTGATCTAGTACTGTGTCAATCGAAACTTGGATAGCATACTAAACGGATGGAGGACTCACCTCGGCTTCTAGTTTGATACAATAGTCAAAGACCTGCCATTGGTGTTAGCGCTTATCTGATTCATAGGTTCAATTTCCTACCAAGACCGCCAAGCCTACCACTTTCATAATTGCATGTCGGTAAGGTGACAGTATCAGAGGAGTTATGTGTTACATACTCTTAAAATACTGGCATGAGGGTCGTGAGGACTAAAATATTCATTTAGTAGTGGCAAGACTTACCTTGACAGTCTGAAGACGCAGTGCAATCTCATATGGGGAGGTCATGTCAAGTTGGAATGGACGAAGATGGGGAGGGAGCAGTAAGTTTGCTAGAATAACGTTAAGGGCATTGGTGAGTATTTATTGACACTGGGTTACTTCGCGCAGCATTCAGAATCTTGGATATCATTTCTAAATCAAACCTTATCGGTCACTCAAAAATTAGCTCGAAGTACATCGATGCCATAGTCTAAAAACATGTTCCGAACTGCAGACCAATTATGCAATAAGAGTTTCCAACCTAAACATGGACATTGACGGTGCAGACTTAGCATAGTTGTATCCGAGTCACATCCTCAATTGAGCTGGCGGAGGATGAGATAGATGATGAGGATAGACACAGGATAGCTGTACCAAATCAGGCTAGTATAATATCATTGCATTTCGATAGAACAAGTCAGGTGGCCTTTTTTGTACACGATGTCGTGGAAACCTGCTGTGGTCACGGCGATCGTGGAGTAACAGTGGATTTTAGACATACGAATACGTAATGTAGTACGTAGGAGTATGAGATAAACTTAGCGGTGATCCGAAATCATTCAAGCAGGCCATCCTCCGAAGAAAATATTGAGCGTGGTATTATACTTTTAAGCGCATCGCATTATTCTTGGAGTTGTTGACTGGACATCCAGATGCCACCTTCAGGTCCGTATGCCACACGTATTGGAAACCACGTCCATCATGATGCGCACTGGATGACGATCCAGTATCTTCTCTCTATCTCCCATTATTCGGCACCTGTTGTTGTGACGACTCGTTGTTAGTTTCATCCTTTGCAGTTCTCTTCAAGTTGACGGATATAGCTCGACGGTGTTTGCAATGTGCCATTTGAGGTTAGATACATGGAAGGTAGACTGAATGATGTTAGTATGTTTAGGCAGATCCAGAGTGTAAGTGGATGAATCACAACTTTGTAGGGTCCGTCAAATCGGGGCATGAAGTTTGAAGACCATCAAAGCAAAGGGACTTATTATACCTTCAAAGACGGATCTTTACTTTTCGGTCAGCCGCCCACCAAGCAACCACAAGTTGATTGCTGACACCATCAAAGCTGGAGGACAGCAACACGGAAGTGTTGCAGGGGGCAGTTCTAACCGACCAGATGTCACCTTCATAACAGAGAATATGACGGAGTTTTTACAAGCGCCTTGATGGAGTGATGTCAACTGTACTAGTATTGCTCTCAAGAAGCTGATTTTACATAAATGGATTGTATGGGTCGAGATATTTAGCGCAAGGAAACATCCGAGTCATATCCGAACTGATCACCCGAGACCATTTCCATAACTGACTGGGAGATGGCTTGCTCATGTTGTTGTTTCATGATGGCTCGTAAGTTGAAAAGAAGGCGGGAGGATAAAACGCTGTGAAACACCATCTGGAGTCTGAGTAGTATACAAGACAAATGTCAAACACATTCAGGATGTTCGAGGTTGAAACTTACGTGTTCAGAGAATCTGCGTATTCTGACTTCACCAAAGGATTAGCAAAACCTAATTGAAAAGGGAGTGTCTTACCGGAAGGAAACCTATGACTATGATGTTGGCTGTTGACATTGCTTGTGTAGTTATTAAGTGTTAGCCTAGTACCCCGAATCCGAAGACGAGAATTGCTCACCTAGTATACACAACACATAAACTATACCATCCAAGTACAGACGCGCAATGAGACGGCTCCTCTGTCGTCCTCGGCGATACCACGCTTGGAACACATTGAGACATAGTATGACTATGTGTAAGATCAGCTTTAGTAACTCCACAAGAAAACAAAACATGACCTGTCTCAAAAAGAACCAACAGGGCATAGTCAACTGCGTATATTGCAATTCTTTGACTTTGATAACAACCAGAAGTTCCTAGTGGGGGATCCTGGTCTACATGATAGCCAAGTCAGACTAGAGACTCGCCAAGGAGGGCTGTAATGAAACGTACATTGAAACCAGGATAAAGCCTTGGCACCGACCACCGCAGATCCTGCGATGCAGCCCTGCAAGATGTCATGATTGAGATGGATATCGCCGATTGTGGCCATGGATTTACCAGCGCAAGTAGTAGTAGGGAAACAAGTAACACTCTGTTTCTTCCCCATAACGTGTACGTCCTAACAAGAAGAAGTGCTGCATATCTGGTTAGGATTATACTAAAAAATATGCAGGGGTATCCATTACATTCTGCGGCAACAGTGCCAATTATGTTAAACCCTTTGCATTATAATTCGGAATTGTAAGGCACAAGACGCAGATATCAGGGTTAGGAAGGGGTACTCACACGAGCCGACTTGGTAAAGCGATAAGCACTAGCATAGAGCTTCCATGAATGCAATACAGTCTATCTCTAATATTGGTGCTCACAACTTGTGATGACGTGGGTCCAAGAGAATCTTGATCGTCAATTGAGCAATACAACGTTGTAAATACAACGGACACGTACAAATCAAGTCCACTGGGACGTCAACGAAAGGTGTATATCGAGCCACCGCGAAAAGGATTCCGAATAAAATCCCACCTTCTCCCCCAAGTGAGGTCGATCTAGTGCTGTGTCAATCGAAACTTCGATAGCATACTAAGTGGATGGAGGACCCACCTCGGTTTCTAGTTCGGTACAGTAGTCAAAGACCTTCCACTGATGAGTCAACGCTTATCTGATTCAAATGTTCAATTTCCTACCAAAACCGCCAACCCCACCACTTTCATAATTGCATGTCGGTAAGGCGACAGTATCATAGGAGTCATGTATTACGTACTCTTGAGATACTGACAGAGTCGGGCTCGTGAGGACTAAAATGTTCGTCTAATAGTGGCAAGACTTACCTTGACAGTCTGAAGACGCAGTGCAATCTCAAGTGGGGAGGACATATTGAGTTAAAATGGACGAAGATCGGAAGGGAGCAGATAGGCTTGCCAGAACAATGGGCATTCGTAAGTATTTATTGACACTGAGTTAGCTTTCCGCAGCATTTAGAATCTTATATATCGTTCTAAACCTTATTCGTCGGAGATTTGGCTTACAGTGCGCCAACATCATGATCTAGAAACATGTTCCAAACCGCAGACCAATTATGTCTAGGTTCTAAATCAGAGTTTTAAACCCAAACATGGACATCGACGATGCAAGACTCACAGTCATATCCGAGTCGGTCGTCGCGATCGGTGGGACCTTGGATTTAGTGAGATGATAATCTAGGGGTGCATGTGAGTTTAGAGTTTTGTCATGGGATCAGGATTCGGTAACATGAGGGGGAAGGACAGACCTTAAGACCACGGATGCGCCCATGACCAACCCTGAAGGGTTCTGTGAATGGTACATCCCGCCATATACACAGCCATGGTGTATCATATATGGAGTTAGCCTCTCGACAGGGAAGGTGCACAGCTTGATGAGATTCATCTTGCAGTCGCCGAAGATGCTGTGACTCCTCATGTTACAATACTATCGCTGGTGTTCTGATACATGGAGGAGTTGAGAGGATGCGACGGAGGAAGGGCCAATGTGGGCGATGTATGGGGCATGGTTCCGAGTGAGTGATATGGCCCGGACTCATGGTCTCGGAGGGGGAGGAGACGCATCTGAAATCCCCAGCGTGTCCAGTGCATGCTTGAGGATGAGTTCTGGAAGCACAGGATAGCTGTATTTGATCGGGCTATAATATTCATGTTATCCTGCAGATAGAACAGGTATTTTTTAATCATAATGTTGATCAATAGTGCATCACTTACTGCATTGGTCCACATTTGCCACTCAACATCAGCTATCGTAACGACCGGCAACACGACATGGTCGAGATCACTCGAGTAAAAAAGTGCTAGGTGGTCCTACATCGCAGATAAAGGCTCCTTTGAGTTTTTTAATAATCACTGCATAGCTAAGCAAATTTTAGCGACTGGCTTGGATAAGCGAAGCCCAAGCCAGTGTCCAGCAGAGTGTCGTGAGGTTGACCACGTTTTTAGCACAGATGAGGCTGGCGAAATCTGCCGGAGCTGTCACGTGCTGGAATGGGCTATTCAGGAGACATAATGTCAATGGGTGGGTGTGCTACGCATGGGAAATCGCCTGCATTGATGAGGACGGGAGCGAATCTCCAGCACAGTATCAGTGATCACTGTCCAAGAATTCTAGCAGCACGACCCTTCTTCAAGCTTAAGCTTCATTCCTATGTTGCCGCCCTTCGGATATATCATGCTCCAGCAATCCCTACATGTAATTTAGACCTAGATTTGGGTCGTATAACTGGAATTTTTCTATGCCTGCCTCCACTTACCGTAGTTTGCACTTTTTTATCCACTGCAAAACATAAAATTCGCGCGTGCCGCATAATCCAATCAATTTATATGAGCGCAAAGTTCATTGAAGTTACAATCAGTACTTAGTCCACACGAATTGCACTGTACAAGCGCCGTACAGCCCAGTAAGATGCGAGGAATCCAATAGTCCCTTGACAAAACCATTGAGCTCTACTGTCATGATCACGAAACATCCCTTACCCGTGACAATAAAATCGAAAAGGCAGATCAAGAACAAATAGCCGAGGTATAATGCAACGCTTGAAAACGAGTCCAGCGAGAGTCGGGATAACCAGTAGAAGAGTCCATAGGCCAAGATCCAAAATGCGCTTCCACCGCCAGTTAAGAAGGCACGCCAATGCCACCTGCAGGGAGAATCGAGATAACGAATTACAAATAAACATACCTCCACATACCTGTACTCTTCAGCGCAAAGGTTGAAATACGTGAACAAGATTGTCACGGTGCCAGTGGTGAGTGCAACAACTCCTGCTGTTAGCGCAAGGAAACCAAATGCATAGTAGGCGCGAGATGCAAAGAGGCTAGACATGACGAAGTAAAGTTCCACGAATGCAGCCCCTGCAGCATTGACGAAACTGTTGAGTAACGAGAAACTGAATGATGAGCCATATCTTACCAAATGGCAGGATCCCTGCGAGTAAAGCGGAGGCCTGCAATAGAGTTGAAAATTATGTGTACGTTGTTGGCCAAGACTTACCCATGGTCGAAGGTGTCGAGGAGCTGGTGGAATCTGACGAGGTATTTGGTTGACCCTGACAGGATGTGATACACCCTGAAACCAAATGAATTTCAATTGCATCAAACACGCAATACACGCACCCCTTGCCTTGACCCGATGTATGATCCGATCGAGGATAGGGGAGCAGAAATCCCAAACCAAAGGACGACGATCAAGAGCATAGTGGCTAGTGTAGGTGAAAACTGGGTGAACTCCAAGGTCGCCGACACGATTACTCGAACTTACAGAATGGAACGGCCCCTGAAGAACCGGCAATGAGAAGGAAAAAATCCAACAAAAAGATCACTATGAATACCAGCCTAGTGAACGAATGAGTAATCAGAATAATGCTGCAGATAAGGGGGCTCACGTCGGGAGAATGGTGGCTGTAAGGAATGTATTCTTTCTTCTATCAACACCACCAAGCGATGCATATATTCTACTCGAATAATAACCTCCAATCCTGATATCTCTTCATAAGCAACTGAGCGCTTCGGTATGAAGAGACAACTTACCCTCCAAAAAAGGTCCAGCACACCATCATGACAGTTGCAAGAGAACCCCGGTTTGAAGGTGAGAGGAAACCCAGCAATGCGAAAACTATCAAAAATTGTTTTTAGACAGTTAACGGAGGGATCTAAGATTTAAGGGAGCTACCAAGGGTAACAGCGCACATGGCGCACAACTGAGCGCCATTTCCTACCATAACAGAGAGCACCATTGGGTATCTGGGTGCGCGAAAAACTTCTCCATGCACGAGTTTCCAACCCCAGTCTTCTTGAACATCCTCCTGCATTTCGTTTGCCGTCAGAACAACCATGTATAAAGTGTTAATCGCTCACACTAAGATCGATGGCATTGTATCGTGAAATCTGCATGGACGTCAGCTTGGATTTATGATAGTGAAGCTAACAATAATCACGTCTCTGGAAACAGTGCGCCATAGAATCATGGCTACCATGACGCAAAGGAAGACAACGATGACAATCGAATTGACGAGGCTGAACCAATGTATCCGGGGGTCAAAAATATGGAGATAGTTGTCCCATCGAGTTGCCTGTGAATAATCAGAAAGGCTCAGCACATGTCTTGCCCGTCATACGTACCCATGGCGTGTCAGATTCCTTAACGCAGGGTGTTAGTCAGATACTCGCCGGGACCAGTCCCTTCAAAACAGACTTACGTCCCAAGTTACTCGGTAGGTATACCGTATGTTGTTGGTTTCATTCTCGGATAGACCTAACCTTGGAACTTCAACATCACAGTCCGGCGCACTTTCATCTTCTTGAGACCCGCCGCGGCTGCAACAAAGAGGTAAGCAAAAGCAAATGATACACGAAAATTTTTGCGCACCTAGATGGCCATACCAGAACTCCAACGACGCGGTAAATTCCAGGTGATGGCTCGTGATATCTGAGTGATGCATTGAGTTTGATGAACTTCAGTACTATAGCTAGGGACGCATACCTCAGAACAATCTCATAATGATTGTTTAGGTAGGGAACGTCGTCGTCGTCATTCCCAAGGTTGAATCCCATATCGAAGAAAAGGTCCCCAGTCTTCATGTCTTTCTTCATTTCCGCAGCTGGCAAACCATCCACCAGCCAGTTGAGAGCATAATCCTCACGGATTCGTTCATTGATGAATTGAGCATCTTCTCCAGGTATTTCGGCAGTACATAGCATTTGGCAAGTGGCATTAGCTTGCAGCATTTTTATCTGTTGAAGTAGTTTGAGTCTGCATATGTGACTATCCGGCCAATGACAACCTACATCATATGGAGATGTGAATATTCGGTCACCAAATAGTATCGATCCCAATGACTCAGGCTGATCCTTGGCACCTCCGTTGGGTGTGCAGAAGTGAAATCGAGGATTATAGTAGTCGTCTGTGATGTGTCAATGTCTGTTGCTAATTGCAATCAATAGGAGAGCTTCTTACAATTTATGAGGGATTTCTGAAGACCAGTAAGCAAAGTAAAGTTCTAACATCATAGAAAAAATCATACCAGTTTTGAATTGTCACTTCCAGCGAGCATGGGAGTGAGCGCATTGACATACAAATCGACAGGATCGCGCTGCACATAGTTGTGGGGTGCTGCACCAGGAAGGTAGAACGCGTTAGCAGCTGAAGGAAGTAAAGCAAGCAGTGCACTTCCAAGGAGGTAGCTAGAAGTACCTCTCATGGCAGAAAATAGCACTTCGGGGAGTTAAGAGCGTTAGGGAGTGATGCAAGTAGTAAGGTAATAATACTATAGGGACACGACACTGGTAATCACGTGACGGAATCGTTAAAATAAATTATTTATCTACTTGATCTTAGCGATAGATGCATCATGTGTCTGCCTTGCTTCAAGTTTGAGCTTAGCTATCGCTAGCCCCTGCTCCAGCGTGACACCACAGTGTCATAGCATTCGACTGGAGACCCCACTGCTCTCATCCAGTGTATCGATCACGATCACATGGGGTCCCCAGTTGACCCAGATGACTTCCTCGCCGTCCGAGAAGTTTTGCATGAACAATCGAACAGGCCACAGACTGAGTCTCATGAGTACTAAACTCAAATTGGGCAAGTTTGAGAACTTAACCTACCTCGCGGACAGATGAAGCACGTTCATGATAGACATTCAGGGGAATAGGGCTAGGGTTGCTGGAATCCTTGGAGCACTTATGCCAAACTTAGTAGTCGCCAGGACACTTATTATATCGCACACTAGATCCGCAAAAGATAATAGGCTCAATTTTTCACTATGTCCGCTTCAGCAGAATGATAATGGTGAGACGTGCTGACTAAGCTGTGGAATGGGCCGCGGCCTCGAAAGTGCCCTTGGCACCCCCTCAACTACTCCAACGCGATCCTGCTGAGAGACTCGGAGGCATGCTGTTGTACAGCATGTATAACCTCATTTTAACAAACACTGTGTTCATAGATATATATACCTATGTCTACCATTCACAGATGAGTATCCCGTTCGACGGTGCTAGTGAGATTCTGTTTAATGATGGGACGAATATTATGCATGGCTGATTCCTGAACCCATTCCTTTAGCTTCTCTGGACGCCATGAGGGTCATTTTCCAACTGGAGAGGACAATTTCGACATGGAGCTTGTGAAAAAACCATGGGCTCCCTCCTCAGCGAAACCGCCATCCCCCAACCCGACCTCTTCCTTCCGCGATTTCTTGACGGACGGTCCAGTACTAGTGGGATTTATATTTTGGAGGTGTACGAATGACTCGTGCAATTGTAACCAGATACCACCCTAGTTGATTCGGAGAATTTCTAAGGGTATGCTGCACACCAGCGGGATTAAATACTGAGTCAGTGAGTTCAGTAAGTATAGAATGCCCATGATAACAGAAAATACTGAAACCAGGAAATTTCCAAGACGTTCTATGTCAGTCGTGCTTTCGGTTCTAGACCTTTGGTGCTGACGTGATCGGTTCCTCATTTCCAACTCGCTCCCCCACAGAAGCTTTGCCAAGAGCTTTCTTGAAACACAAAAAAATCGTTATTGAGTGGGGCTAATAAAATTATCAATGCCCGCTGCCCCCTTCCGATTTTCGTCTATCCTAACTCGACATGACCTCCCCACCTGAGATTGCACTACGTCTTCAGACTGTCAAGGTAAGTATTGCCACTATCAGATGAACATTTTATCCCTCACGAGCCCAACTTTGTCAGTATTTTAAGAGTACGTAATACAGAACCTCTATGATACCATCGCCTTCTCCAACACGCAGTTATGAAAGTGATAGGGTTGGCGGTCTTGGTAGGAAATCGAACATATGAATTATACAAGTGCTGACTTCAGTGGCAGGTCTTTGACTACTGTATCAAACTAGAAGCCGAGGCGGGTCCGTTTAGTATGATATTGAAGTTTCGATTGACACAGAGTGACCGCCTAGGTCGACCTCACTTGGGGGAGAAGGTGGGATTTTGTTCGGATCCTTTTTGCGGTGGCTCGATACACGCCTTTCATTGGCGTCCCGGTGGACTTGATTTGTACGTGTCCATTGTATTTAAATCGTTTCATAGCTCAATTAACGATCAAGATTCCCTTGGACCCACGTCACCACGGCCTGTGAGTACCAATATTAGAGATAGGCTATATCGCATTCATAGAAGCTCTATGCTAGTGCTTATCGCTCTACCAAGTCACCTCCTGTGAGCACCCTACCCTGATATCTGCATCTTCCACCTTATAATTCTGAATTACAATACAAAGGGCTTAACGTGATTGGCACCGTTGCCGCAGAATGTAATGGATACCACTCCGCATTTTTTCTGCATAGTGCTCACCGGATATCCAGCACTCCTTCTTGTTAGGACGTACACTTTATGGGGAAGAAACAGAGTGTTACTTGTTTCCCTACTACTACTTGCGCTGGTAAATCCATGCCTACAATTGGCGATATTCATCTCAGTCACGACATCTTGCAGGGCTGTATCGCAGGCTCTGCGGTGGTCGGTGCCAACGCTGTATCCTTGTTCAAATGTAAGTTTCATTACAACCCTCCTTGGCGAGTCTCTAGTCCAACTTGGCTATCTTGTAGACCAGGATCCCCCACTAGCAACTTCTGGTTGTTATCAAACCCAAAGGATTGCAATATACGCAGTTAACTATGCCCTGCTGGTTCTTTTTGAGACAGGTCAATTTTCTTTTTCTGTAGAGTTACTAAAGCCGACCATACACATAGTCATACTATGCCTGAATGTTTTTCAAGCCTGGTGTCACCGAGGACAACTGGGGAGCCGTCTCATCACGCGTCTGTACTGGGATGGTATAGTTTATGTGTTATGTATACTAGGTGAGCAATTCTCGTCTTTGGATTCGGGGTACTAGGCTAACACTCAATAACTGCTTAAGCGATGTCAATAGCCAACATCATAGTCATAAGTTTCCTTCCGGTAAGACATTCCCTTTTCAATAAAGGTTTTGCTAATCTTTTGGTGGAGTCGGAATATGCAGAGTCTCTCGACACGTAGGTTTCACCCCCGAACATTCTGAATGCGTTTGACATTAATTGTCTTGTATACTACTCAGACTCCAGTTGGTGTTTCACAGCATTTTATCCTCCCGCCTTCTCTTCAACTTACGAGCTATCATGCAACGACGACAAGAGCAAGCCACTTCACTTATGGAGATGGATGTTTTCGGACGCAATATCTCTTTGCACTTAGTATCTCAACCTGTACAATCTATTTAAAATCAGCTTCTTAAGAGCAATACAAGTACAATTGACACCTTGCCATCAAGACCCTTGCAAGAACTCTGTGGTATTCTCTGTTGTGAAGGCACATCTAGCGAATTAGCATTGCCCCCTGTAACATGGTCCCATATTGATAGAATCACATGCAATTTAGCATCTTTGGGTGAGAAGGCATCTGGCAGCGTAATATTGGCTGTGCAGACTCTAGACCCCGAGGGCGAGACGGACAATGCAATGCCAGAAAGAAGAATCCCTGCAGAGTCAGGCTTGTGCTTGGCGCCTCCGTCCCGCATTTCCTACCAGTAGGTATGCTTGTGGCAATGAACTGCGGCAGCGGCAGATTAGCAGGAAATCAGAGGAGTGAAACTACAAGCACAACCTACCCGTACATGTGCACTCATGGGTACCTAATGGAATGGGTCTGGCGGCTACACCATTTACAGACTTCTTGTTTTCAAGCTTCTCGGTTGAAGTACTGATGAAATACACTTGTCCAGCCCGGGGCAACATCGTTTTTGGCTACGATATTACTATGAGTATACCACATAGCGCTTAGTTACAATAGCGTTGCGCATATAGCGGTGCCAGAGGTGATAGTGCACGAGAATGTTCAACGCAGTGCCAGAATCAAATGTGTGTCCTTTCCGGCACGTAAAATCGCCACCTGTCCATCGATCAGGTGACTCCTCTCAAGCTTGAGGTGCACGTCTGGCTGAGGTACGTTATTCAAATATAAACCATTCCCGAGGGCGAGTTGTCGTGCTGCCGCTGAAAGTATTAGTCAACAGATGATTCAGTGGAACCAGAGAAAGGCAGACAAACACTTTGATGAGGCAAGTCCAAACTTAGCAGCAATGTTTGGGAGCGTGATTCCGAGCAACTCGTCCTCCGTACAGAGAACTAACCGTGGGTCATTTGCAAGAGATTTCACGATATCTTTCGCGTGCAGAGTTGAGTAGTCTGTTCCAAAAAGGACGTTGGTTGCTACCCGAGCAGCCTCTAGACCTTCCTCTGCAGGACGTGTCAGAGAGCGCAAGTGAACAACAGGCTGACTCTCACTTCCATGTATCAACAATGTTACTTCTTTGGCAAGAAGTTTCTGCGCTAATCGGCGTTCAGGCTGAATTCCATGTTCTCGCACAACATCGTCTATTTCTTCGACAGGAAGCAGAGTAAACATCTTGAGGTACTTCTCAACATCAGCGTCCGTTGTACGGAGGAAGAACTGTCGGAAGAATTGAGCTGATGACCAGTGATAGTTAGCCAGCATACCTGATAGAAGTCTAAGTAACTTGTGAGTTTTTCATCAAGCCATACAGCGTTCCCCGCGCTCTTTCCAAACTTCTCGCCTTGTGAGGTTGTTAGCAATGGTGTGGTCAGTGCAAAACACCCCTCGTTGTATCCAGCACAATCTCCTTCGACTTTGTTTATGAGGTCGATGCCGGAAAGAATATTCCCCCACTGATCTGATCCACCCACTTGAATAGTACATCCCATTGTGCGAAAAAGTTCGTAGAAGTCATAACCTTGGAGAAGCTGGTATGTGAACTCGGTGAACGTGATGCCATTGTGTGCACTCATTCGCAATTTTACACTACATCACATGGTCATGAATAAAAGGAAACGTAGGAAGGTAAAGTGACGGACCTATCCCTTGCCAGCATATGATTTACACGGAAATGAATGCCAGTACTGCGCAAGAAATCGAGAAGATTCAATTCCTTTAGCCAGTCTATGTTATTGACGACTTGTAGCTGAGAAAAAGTGGCCAGGGAGGGAGCCTTATCGAGGGCATACTCTGTGGCGCGAGAGAAAAATTGCTGAATAGAATGGGTGAGTTTGACAGTGTTGGATTCAATTTGAGCCTTTTCCGACAGTGAGCGTTCCATCATACGGCCAGAGGGATCTCCGACAAGCCCCGTCGCTCCACCTATCTGAGTACATTCAGTCAACTTCCAACATAGAAATGCGCGAAATTACAAGTGCTAGCGTGTTATGCCCTCTCATGCGGAAATGCAACAGACAGAGAAGCGGGATAAGATGACCCGCATGTAAAGACTTTGCCGTTGGGTCAATCCCAGCATAGATGGTCCGTGATTTCTGCAAATGCTTAGCGAAATCATCTGGGCTGGAACATGTCAATACATACATCCTCCCACTTTACGAATATGGTAGTTCTCACCGCGTCACATCAGCAATGAGTTGGCGGGCACTCAACTCTGACAAAAGGTCTCGTCCTGAATGTAAATTTCTAGTCAGGGGAATAACCTTCCACCTGAGGGGTATTCGGTGAGCTGTACTAGGCCATCTACGAACAGGTTTAAGCATTATTTCGTGTTCACCATCAATTTAAGTTGAAGGAAGCAGCAATTCAGCAAAAGCTAAAATAAAATCACGTGATTAGAACTGCTCGTGATTCATATTAGTAGCCAAGGCGTCTTGAGTCTAACGAGCAACTTCTAGAATCTATGCTTTCGGAAATTGCAGACAGTCCACCTCTCTGAGTTCCTGCGATCGATTCCTCAAATATGCAATTCGAAGTTATTGCAAAATGCCACACAACTCGAGCGCGAGTTTGCAGAATGAAGCTTGCCCGTAAGTAACTGGTTCTTATCAGGTACTACAGTCATCACAGCAGGATAGATTCAAGTTGCTAGTTCACAGATGGTGTCACAATGCTCCCTACATTCATGCCTGTAGCAACACAGGCAGCGATCAAAGGCTTAACCCCACAACAGGTTGAATCGCTTGGAATCACACTCATTTTGAATAACACATACCATCTGAATTTGCGACCTGGGATTAAAGTCCTTGATGAAGCGGGAGGGGCTCATAAATTCCAAGGTTGGAACCGTAACCTTCTCACTGTAAGTGCAACTTCAGAAACTTGTCGCGCTAAAGCTTAGCTTTTCGAAGGACAGCGGAGGCTTCCAACTGGTCTCTTTGAGCAAGTTCACCAAAATCACTGAGGATGGTGCTTTGTTTGCTAGTCCATTTAACGGAGAGCCCACAATGCTGACGGTTGGTCTCTAATAATTACTACCGCTTCTTCTGTTGATGAGCGGCGCAGCCTGAAGAAAGTATTTCTATACAGCATTCAATCGGAGCGGATATTATCATGCAACTAGATGACGTGGGTGAGGCTACTCATATCATGTATTTTCCAATGTTTAAGGTTAGCTCAGTTAGTAGTCTGACTGTTGGACCTCGAGTTGGCGAGGCCATGCACCGTTCTGTTCGATGGCTCGATCGTTGCATCGAACAGCATGAAAAATCCGGCCGGAAAGACAAACAGAACCTTTTTGCCATTGTTCAAGGAGGGTTGGACCCAGCCTTGCGAGATCTATGTCTTGATGCAATGATCGAGCGGAAGGACCAAGTCACCGGGTATGCTATCGGGGGTCTTAGTGGAGGAGAAGAAAAGGGTAGGTTCCTTAACTAATTTAGAGGCTTTGACGACCTGATGCACCTTTTTGAGACGTGTTCTGGAAGATGTAAGTTTGAATTTGGGCTGTCACTGTGCACCTGATCTCGCATAGTATCAAGCAGTGTGCAGACCGGCTACCTTCAGATCGTGAGTATATTGATTTCTTCTGTGAAGTCCCCTGTAAACTTCTGCGCACTTAGGGCCCCGTTATTCAATGGGCGTAGGTTTTGCAGAAGGTGCTTGAAGCGCTTGCTCCTCGCAGTTAATCTTGATCGTCACTACAGATCTACTAGTCTGCGTCGCATTGGGTGTTGACATGGTAAGCTTGAGATCGGTGCACCTTAGCGTGAAATTCTCTGACAGTTGCTCAGGCGGATTGCGTGTTCCCTACTCGAACTGCAAGATTTGGTGTGGCCTTGACTTTCAAGGGTCCCCTCAACCTCAGTAGGTTTATTTTCGCATATGTCAATGCGATGCGGACTCATTGATTGATGAAATAGAGCTCGGAAAGCACACAAAGAGCATGGAACCTATAGACAAGAGTTGCCCTTGTCCGACATGTGCAAGCGGCATGTCCCGAGCTGTGTTGCACCACATTGTCACGATAGAGACAGCTGGTGCCCACGGTAATTCGAATCTGTTTCCTGTGGTATACTTAGCTGATCTTTGGTCACCCGTCAGCCCTCACAATTCACAACCTTGTTTTTCAGGCCCGGGTTATGGGCGGTGCAAGAGATGCTATTCTCGAAGGTCGATTCCCTGAGTACCTAAGGTCATTCTTCTTCGATTACTTCGGTGACACCGGATACCCCGAATGGTGTGTAAACGCTCTGCGAAGCGTTGGGGTAGACCTAATGCAGGGTGTCGACGTGCCGTTAGTAAAAGGCTCCGGAGTGAGGTGGGAGTACTCGGATGCGGCTTGACAATGACATGTCATACTAGGGGAACAACAGATACCGGAAGAATAGTGTAAAAATCAACTCCTTCCTTTGCGACTTGGCCGAGCATTCCTAGCTTTCTTCCGTTCTGCGACCATCCTATTTTTGCGTATCTGGTCGACTGTCTTGATCTCGGTTTTGACTCTGCCCACTGATTTCCCTCCGAAACGCCCGCCACTTCTGATATTTTTCGCTCTACCAGGACTTTTCGGTTTTGCCTCGCCTGCTTCCGCTGCGAAACCCACTTCTTTCTTCTTGAGCTGCCTCGACTTGCGCTCGTAATCTTTGCTGAGCTTGTCCAATGGCTTAGCCTCCGTGACCTTGTTATGTTTCCATCTCCTCCCTCCAGGCCCGACCGCACCAGTACCTCTCCTTTCCATTTCCCTTTCTCCGATCTTTGGCAGCGACACCCTTGCTTTCTTCTTCCAGTCGTCAAACCGGCCACTTTTATATGTAGCAGGCAATTGAGTGCCGTTCTCTGTTCGCAGAAGTTTCATGTTGTCAGAGCCAATTCCGCCCCCTTTGACGAATTTCTTCTTTTTCTTGTCCCATGACAACTTGTTCTGGTGCCGTTGACGCGCACCGATGGTGTCCTCATCTCCTGCAAGGTCGAGGATGGCACCCTGAGCTTGAGCGGCAAAGGAAGAAGCTCCGTCTGTGAGCGAGTAGCTAGGAAAATATCATATTGTATTTCAGTGTGGATGATCAGGAGTAGATGGAATATACAAACCCTTTTTCGGTTATGGCGTCCTTTTGATAATGAGACATATAATAATCCTCATCACGGAAGTTATTGCTCTTCTTGCTAGAGACATGGAAAACAGCCTACAGAAAATCAGTATCGACACTTGGAGTTTTGAGGAGACGAACCGCAATGTCTTCCTCGTCTGCCATTTCCACGTCGCCATCTCCACCTTCCCCAAGACCGTCGTCGCCGCCTTGGTCTGTGTCGACAACAGTAGAAGAACTGGGCCCTGAATTTCCTGCCCGCTCTACGGCCTTTGCAAGCGCCTTCCTCCGTTCTTTCATAAGTGCAGCATTAGCGGTCGCCGCTTTTCCACGAGTACCAACCTCGAACACCGTCTCAGCAGGCTTAAATGCGCTGACCGCACGGACGATCGCGGCACGCTTCTCCTCCATTTCTCTCGTGTCTTCTTTTCCGTCATCGCCTTCCTGCATTAACGTGAGGACGGGATGTATGACACCTTCCTGTCCGTTACGTCCAAGCTCCTTTGCACGTCGATAACTCGCCGGGCTGGCCTTTCCACGACTTCGTTCATACATCGCGTGCCCACGTCCCATGACTGCACGTAGGGTTGGCAGCGTATTCTGTGACTCGTCTAGTGTACGAACATACTCGACCTCTGAATCCATTAGATCTCGTGGAAATGACGCAAAGAGTAGTGAATGAGTGTAAGGCTCTTCTGACGTTGTAGCCGATGCGGGGATGGACGAAGTAATCAACGGCCGACCCAGAAAGAGTTGCAGGTCACATAGATATGGCAACTCGCCATGAGCAACGAGACTCCACGCCCAACCTTTTCTTCCAGCTCTGGCCGTGCGACCCACGCGGTGGACGAATATCCTTGCACCGACAGGAAAATCGTAGTTTACCACATTTTCAAGAACTGGTATATCAAGGCCACGGGCTGCAACATCCGTAACCACCAATATGCTGGTCTTTTGCGCCAAGAACTGATTCATTTGGTATGACCGAGCAGATTGGGTCAGCGAGCCGTAAAGAGCAGAGACAGCGTAACCAGCTGCGGCGAGGAGCGCAGAGAGGTATTCGACGTGGTGTTTTGTAGCTGCGAACACGAGTGTCTGGTGAGGCGCACTATGGGTTGGGTGTTTGGCTTTGAACTTCCCCTTCTTGTGTTTGCCCGATGATTCGGTATCAGCTTCCTTGAATGATTCGGTGCTTCCATAGGGGACTTTGATGATATCCCGAAGGAGTACCAGAAGAGATGCATCTTTCTCCGCTTGTTTGACAGAAAAAAACGCCATTCGTAGATCAGTACTGATTTTCGACTCCGCGTCTAGTCGCACAAGTTTGGGGTCGGATAAGCCTGCTTTGGCAAACTCGACAAGCGATTTCGGGAGGGTCGCAGAAAAAAGAAGGGTCTGACGAGACGTGGGAAGGCGAGCAAGGATCTCCGTAAGTGCAGTAGCAAAACCAAGCTCAAAAAGACGGTCTGCCTCATCGAAAACAACATATTGCACAGACGACAAAGAAAGCGACATCTCGACGATTAGGTGGAGGAGACGACCAGGAGTTGCGATGATACTAAATCGAGAACAATATCAGACAACACCCACATGAATGAAATGCACGCACATATCTGGGTTATTACTGATCATTTCAAACTGTTCATCCAGACCCTCGCCGCCTACAATCAGACTCCAGCGCAAGCTTTCGCCTTTTTTATTCAAAGAATCGTCAACATCATCGCCTGCATGCTGCGCAGCATCATTTGTCCAACCTCGCACGAGTGCCTTTCCAACTTTGACAACCTGAGTGGCAAGCTCTCGTGCTGGGACTAGGATAATTGCCCGAGCTCCAAAAGTATGCGCATGTCTGCCTCCAAGACGCTGTACTAAAGGTACCATGTACGCGAGAGTCTTTCCAGAACCAGTCCGGGCCATTCCGACTAGATCTCGTGGTGGAGATGCAAGAAGGGCAGGAATGGATGCACGTTGTATAGGTGTGGGTGTGCGATATCCCTGGAGCGTCAATGAACGCAGAAGCGATGGGTGCAGACCTAGAGAGGCCCATCACCATCAGCACATGATATTCATTGAATAGGAGCACATACCCATGCTTTGGAAGCTTCCACCTCCGATGTCACCCTTGCTTTTCCCTTTACTCTTAATCTTCTTCAACATCTCAGTACCGCCTTTCTTATTTCGCTTCGAGATAGAATCGTGAATCAACTCTTCAATGCCGTCGTCATCATCCGGGTGATGTTCGATTAGACCGTCTTTTCTCGGTCTCTTGCCTGTGAGAGCACTAGAGATGTCGACATCGAATTCGTCGTCTGAAGCGGGTTGAACTAGTGAAAAGTCTGATGATGATTCTTCGTCCTCCTCAATATCTCTGTTCCTTTTGCGTGATACCATGGCGTTCCTGATACTGGGAGAGGATCTTTTTGAGTTTGCAACAAGCCTCTAAAATGTACACAGCCACCGACCGCATGATTAGGTTCACCCACCGTTTGGGAGTGTGAAAGATTTATTCTGATATTTCGTACAACCCGAGCCTGAGCTTCCAAGTAATAGGCCATACATACACATATATGGTGCGTTCAGGGTTCTTATCGCTCCTTCTTTATGATAAGGAATGGGGTACAACCACTTGAAAGATATTGTTATGCCATCATGTGACGGTATATTGCCGCACACACATCGCGTTTTACTGCATCATTTAATCGGCGAGCGCCGAACATTCAATTCACGAACCCCAATGAACTTTCTCCTGGACCTTGAGGCTGATTTTTATTGTTATCGCGGCGATAAGTCCCTTGTTGCTGGGGCCGGGTCCGACCCCCGGGACCACAGAAGCTCTCATTTAATGTTTATGGCTAGCCGAAACATTTGGGAAATGGTATATGCCATTGCCAGCGACGAGCGATATTCTAGAGCTCTGGAAGCTCCACTAGCTGACCGGCCCGGGGTATTCAAAAGGCCGCCCCTGTGCTTTTCATACTACAAGTATTAGCGACCAAGTCGCGATCGGACGCAGTCTAGGCTGCGCGGTCATGAAAGTAAGTGGTAGTGCATTCACCAAGTGAGGATGATCCGATAAAATGATATCATGATGAGGCTGTATCCCAGGTTTGCACATCACGCCCATGTGAATATTCACAATTACCAGCCTGGTCGGATCCAACATCATGATATTAATGACACCCGATGCGACAGTCATGGACTTGCAAGCGCTTACCGCTTCATACTTAGTATCTCCTCCGAGTCTGTTTGAATCGGCCGTTGTAAGTTTCTTCCAAGATCAGTACCTTCAGTACTTGCTAATTAGGTCTGATGACTCTGATCTGTCATGCAGATACATGAGGCAGGATATAAGTGACATTGAGGTTGGCTACATTCGGGGGTCCTTGTCCGGCTATGTTCAAATCTCAGGATTGCCAGTGGCCATTAATGGTTGCGAGGCCATGTTTCCCAGCACTGGTCAGCGGAGATTCGGCGGCCAAGGCAGTAACGAACGATCTTTTCGGCAAAGTATCACATAAACTAAATGACGCTGACAAAAAACTAACACATCGTGGCTGTCATATGGTCAGCTGCGCTGGCAGTATATAAGTAAAACTTACCGACCTAAACATCTCAGGCTTTCCTCCTAGTTGTCTCCTCACTTCAGTTACGAATTCTTCACGATTAATCATGTTTGTCAACACTTCTCCCCGTGCTCTTCTCACTTCATGTTTTGTGCTTCTTACGTTTCTCTCTTGCGCATTATGCGCTCCTCTCTCCGCAGTGATGCGGCGCGATGTCTGGGTACCCACAATCACCTCCCCTACATCTGACTCTGTGTGGACTGTTGGAAAGTCATTCCTCGTTACCTGGGATACATCCTCGAAACCTGCCGAAGTAACCAACCCTAATGGCGAGATATACCTCCGCCTGGGCGATGAAACCCAATCCAGTCCCATCGCATCTGGATTTCCGCTTTCTGATGGTCAATTCGAAGTTACAATCCCTTCTGACACCACTCCTGACCAGTACAGGGTTGTATGTGAGTGTCCTGTGTTCTGCTATCTTAACTCAGTTCAGAAAGCTGACGATTAATTCAGTATTCGGCGACTCTGGGAACTGGAGTGATCAGTTCCCAATTGACGCAGCCACATAAGCTGCCTGCAGGGTTTTCTGTCAATGTGACAAAAATGTCAAACAAGAATCAAAAAAAAATAGTGGGGAAGAGATGTACGATTTTGGTGTTTGATGATGGACTAAAGCAATGGACTCGAACAATTGGCATCTCATAATTGGACTTCTTTGATTTGGACACTTCAAGTACACTTTACTCTACGCATTTTCTTTCGTAAAGGTCGTGGTTCTGCTTCTGCCTCACCTTAGCCTTACTTAGTGTACTAGTACGTTAGCTGTACGGTAGTTGATGTAAAGGTTACTCCTCTGTATCCACACCATCTATTTCGTTCGAAATTGATTCAGGCTTTCAGCCGAGTGTGGAGAGTGTCGGTACAATGCAAGTGCTACATATGTGCTGCATACTTGATAGATGTCGATCGTGGGGCTTTGGTCACAATTGATCACTGCCATCAAAGCTTTTTGAACTTGCGTGATTGATCTGTCGACCGAACTCCAATTGCTAAGCGCAAGATGTCATGGTCATTTTCCACCCCATCAATGTCACCGCTTCCAAACGCCAGCGATCCACGGCTATTGTCCGGGTCCCTGCTATCACCCGAACCATTCGACTCGCCTTCTTATACGGGCCCTGGGGGCGCCGACCTTTCCCTCTCAGAGCTCTCACTTTCAGACAAAGACACAGAACATTTTCATCTTCATGACAGACCACGTTTCAGTCTACTGGCGCCAACTGCTACAACATCACAGACATTCTCGCCTGATCACAGCAGAATATCAGAGGACGACGAATATGAAGAAGAAAACGATGAGGGCTCTGAAAACGATGCTGATACGACCATGATTGGAAGGGTTGCTGCTGCGAAGGCACGGGAAGACAAGCTTCACAGCGATCTCTTCGTTCTCAAGAAGCTGAACGCGTCTTTTGCGTTATTTAATGACGCGTTACGGTCTACTCAGACTGCAACTGAGGTGCGTACTACTGCTGAGCATAGAATCGGCTAATGATCCTCATGTCTTGTGTCTGCTGATTCGCTTGTGCAGCAAGTGACCACTCAACTCGCACAGACGGATGCGCTTCTAGATAAATATGTCAACATGCTTGGGAAGACGGAAGCTGTGGCTAAGCTAATTTTTGATGAACAATGGGAAGGCGCAGAGGCTGTAAGCTGTATTTCCTTTGCCTAGTTCTTTTCCTGGAATCTCCCCATGCCATAGTTCGGCTCGCGACGCGTTTCTCTTCCAATTCACTGTGACTTTTCGTGGCTGATAACGCTTAATTCAAGGATGAAGAGTTACTTGAACAAGAGCGACAGCAGGCTCTTGAACAGGCTCGACTAGAAAAGGAACGCCTTGAGCGGGAAGAGGCAGAACGGAGGGAATCAGAAAAGCGTGCGCGCGTAGCTGCAGAGGAAGCTGCTCGTCGCGAAGCAGAAGAACGTACACAACGCGAAGCTGCAGCTACAAAAGCGCCCCGTGGCCGCGGTACCGGTGGGTCAAGTGGAGTCCGGGGCATTCGTGGGACAAGAGCCACATCGGCAGCTGCAGCTGCAAGAAGTACCAAAGGCATTCCTCGTGCAGGTATGGGAATATGTCGCTTGAGCAACGACCAGATTCTGATTTTTACGGATAAAACACCAGCCTCAACGAGTGCTGCATCGGCGATCCCTCGCAGTCGCTCGACTAGTGCTACTGGAAACGTCGGAAGCTTAGGCGGTGGAACAAGACCTGGATCATCTGTAAGCCGAGGAACAGGCTTGCCGCGAGGCGTACCTAGGAGAGGTTGAGTCACAGTTCCTGTGTCCTATGCATAGGCAGGCTGTTCAAGAAAACTCGCGGCTACTGCACAATGCCAGGATTAATAACCGGCGAGAAGCACGCTGTACCATGAACTCGCCGTCGCGATATTCGCTCGGCTGTCTGTCGCAAGGCATCCTCATTTGAAGCCACAGCCACTTTGCCGCCCGGAAGTCGTGTATCTCCAGAGCGACCATGACTCGCGCCATATTGAAGAATCCGCGACAGTATTGTTCCAATGACAGTAGGAAGCATCGATTTCATTCACGTATAGATTACTTGCAGAGTTAGGGGTATTCCATTGATTCTTTCTGGTGTAATCGGTACCCCACAGAAGTCGGCACTTTCACAAAACTCGTATGTCTGAACACGACATTCCCGCTATCGTTAGGGAGTGGGTCAAGCAAACAGCAGAAAGCCGTGTTGATCGATCAGTCCAGGCCCTCGGGCTTATCGCCAAATTGGATTTTGATTTCTCGGCCGTCGTTCATGCGTCTTTATCGTAACGGTGAAGTGCCTGACTCCCAATTCCAAATCACTCGGCGTGTTCTCGGTCTTAATTTCATCACCCTCGATAACATCCACAAGCTCAAACTAGTACACACCACATACAACAGGTTATCGGTGTGTTGAGCCGACTCCAAAAGGGTTAGGGTTAGGGTCAACCTGGAGAAAGAGAGTGGGGTTAGGGTTTGAATGTGGAGCACCGCACCAAGGCACTAGACGCATATGGCGAACGATAATTTGCGGCGGCAGCTTGCTCAGTGCACCGAAACCCGTGAAAACCAGAATCTAGATCCACCACAAAAGTACATATGATGCCAAATAAAGCCTACGGGGCATACCCCCAGCAGGATAATGACTCAGAAAAAACCGATCAACAAAACAAAGCCCTCTGGCGAGTCAAGGAGAGAATATCATCCAAGAAATATCGTGACTCGCCAGTTCTCCAGGACAACCCAAACGCGTTTATGGCGTGAGAAATCCTGCGATCACCTCAACAAATGATTTCGGTTCTCGACCATCATTTGCTACCTTGCACCCTCTGTCCTTTTGACCAAGTACATGAAGAAATATGTGCTTTAAATCCGGGCACCAACAAGAAGCCAACTGCTATGCCAGTCAAACAGGCATCAGGAATCAAGATCCTTTAAGCCAGGGGTATCTCGAATAGAACAAGACCAATATAAACAACAATTTGCATCAACAAAACAACCATCACCTTCTGATGGACATGTAGGCTTGAACTGATAGTCTGATCCTCATATCATGCTCGGCTGATCACCACGCTGCGGTGCCTGTCCCTCGCTGGCGATCCCTGCATCACGGGGGAGGGTCGTCCGAATATCGACAGCCTAGACGAATAATTGATTAGCAATGGGTCCAACGATCAATTACAAGTGTCCAAATAGGTGATGAGAAGAAATAATTAATCCAGCGTAATAGCCGCGGGCACACAGTCGTACCACGGTGAAAAGGTGATACCAGAGCGGCCACTTACTCGGATAGGCCTGATGGGATTCTTGTCCCTCGTGCAAACGGAGAACGGACATCCGATTCAACAGCGTGACTGCTATGCGAAACTTGGGGCATGGAGGAAAATCCTAAAAGAGAATGGAACCCCTGCCTACTTGAGGCATCAGAGACCCGCGCTCCGGGATCCTGTACATTGGATTTTGGGCGAGCCAAGCCCACACTTGATATTGTCGGAGAGACTCCGACATCGGTGTAGGGCGATTGAACCCTTTCATTCATTACTGCGCTACAGGCAGACGCGCTTCCGCAGTGTCTATGACAGCAGCCGTTCCCTAGTGGACAGTGCACGACGACAACGCTGCGCTGTTCAGGCCTATCAAGCGAGTAGACTTCTTGAACATGGTAAGGGTACTGCGAGAACGAATGCTGACTGTCGGCGGAAACATAACCGGATGCGCATACTTCAGTTGCAGCATCTGTGGGTGCTCGATTATTCCCTTTGTTGGCAACTCGGGGTCGTGGGAGAGAAGAAATAGATTGCTCGTCGTCTTTTGGATAATCGACAGCTGGCAGACGATCTCGCACAAGGTGCGTTGTAGAATAATGAGGACTCGTCAATTCTGCATCCTTCTGGCCATTCTTTCTGCGACCGGAAACACCCCTTGGATGAGGTTTGACATTTGCAGGATCAAATATCCTTGAAGGCGGAATCATGACGCGAGGATCCAAATTCTGACCTTTACGTATCTCTTCGATAGTGGGATACCGCGCTCCCGTCTCGAATGACGTAGGAGCAGTCGCTTGTCGACGTAGATTTCGAGGGGATGTTGTTTCCTCTATGGACGTCAGGGATGAGGTGGGGGAAGACTCCACCCTTCTGATATGACTGGGGCGGGATCTCATCAGTAAATGCGACGCTTCATTTACGCAAGAACTTGAAGATGTGTAAGATGTATCGTCCACGGTGACTCGGGGTGACAATCCTCTTTCTGGCTGAAGCCAAGGATCATCCTGTAGTTCCACGTACTGCGTCACTCCAGTTTGTGGTTCTGGTGACAACATTTGGCGTGGAGAATGGAGTAGGGGCACATCATTCCATAGCGTCTGGGGCGATTGCACACTGACAGTACGAGCACCGGCGACACGATCCATTTTTCTCGGAGTCACCGGTTGGTACATGTTACCATCCATCTCATTCTTGATTCTAGTGGTAGGAGCTGCCGCAGCGCCTGCATTTGGTCGGACGGCCCTCACTTCACCCCTTTGCAAGGCTCCGAGCCATACTGCAAGAGCTTCCTCGTACGTATCAAAGCTTTGATGAACAGCGCCTGGAACTTTTTTGGTTTGTCCACTGCATTCTATCCTGAAGAGCGTATGAGCTTCACAAATTCATAAGGAATTGGCGTTGCGCTAACATATTGCGTCGACGCGTTGAATTTGCAAGAATAGGGATTTCAACCTACCAATTCGGATATATACCTGGCTTCAAACCCACGACTACGACATACGATTTCCCCATCAAACGGACTAGAAGTAAATATCGAACAATGAGGCCTTGAAGGCTTAGAGGTTTAAGGAGATTTGAACACGCAACTATGTAGTAAAGGACTTAGCGAAAGACTCAAACTTCGCGACACGGTGACGTACATGTTATGTAACAAACGCCTAATTAAAACCCTTTAAAAATTTTGGGGTATTAATGTGTTTGTGGTGCTATGCCTGGGAGCTCGAAGTGGTTTATTGAGGAGCAGATAACCTGAGTAGAGACTCGGATAGTAAAGAAACTGGAGGAGCGAATCCCTGGGTTCAAGCGAGATTACTCGATAAGGAGATAATACATTGATGACATAACTGAGTGAAAAATCTAGATCTGAGTCAGTCATAAGTTATCTGCTTACCATCTCGTGAAGATGGAATTTGTTCCAGGACCCGCTGTTCATCGTGTGCTCTGTGCTGATTGTGGCAAGTCTTTGATCTTGAAATATTTGCTCTGCTGACCCCCATCATGATCATCAGGAACACCGATTGTCCCAAATTCTGCTAATTTATGTGTGGCATGTCTTCGAAATACGTGAGTATAATCA